ATTGTATTTTAATACGCGGTTTCCATATAATAATAGTTTAATAATTAGCCATAATTTAACGTGTTTTGATTTACAGTAGGTAGTAGGTACCTATATATTATATATTCCTGAATCGTGGAAAAAAAACCCAGGAAAAAAATGTCCGAAAAAAAAAATTAAATATAAATGTCAACACATGTATACTCTACTCCTAATTAGTAATTAGTAATTACTGTGTGGAATGAACCTATAGCAAAATATAATATATTACAACGAAAATAATGTCATAAATTATTATCATGTGTAATTTTTGTATGAATATACCTTAGATGTTATACTTATACCCCTGATGTTTATTAACTAATAACTTATAACACTGTATAGATGAGTTCATATTTATATTTAATTTTTCTTTACTATTACAAGTTGGTTTTTTTTTAAATATAACTAATAGTTAAGCATAAACAATATTCACACATAAAAGTACTTCTATTTAAAATTGTTCATTGAATAAATAGGTTAAAAAAATGATTCTTATTAATTGAGTATACATAGCTATAATAATTTATGGATTATTGGTTACTAATTAGGAGTATAGAGTATACATACATGTGTTTACATTTAGATTTAATTTTTTTTTACTTTTTTCCTCCTACCATATGTGTCATACTGTCCATAGACATAGCTGTGTCTCTCTGTATACTACAAGACTGTATAGCCTGCAAGGGTCAGCAAATTTTAACTGGCATCAACATCGAGATTTTGATATAATTTTATACACGTGTATATTGTATATTACCTGTATATTATAGGTAAATGGACCTCAAAGTTTGTTTTTACATAATTATTGCCTATTGGTGGTCCGCACAACTAAAAGGGTTTCGAACTGCTGGTGTATAAATTGATCTCAGTTGTATAGTGAAGGTAATAGCCATGGTTAGGTTTTAGGTATTTAAGTATCTCAGTTCACGTGCAAATCGTCGTCAGTGTTATTCACTTAGTGAACTAATTAGACCTAACCTGTGATAGATTGGTAACGTGATTCTAATTATTCTTTACATTTTCTTGATATCTCTAAGAACAATCTTTGAAGTTTTTCTCAAAATCGCTCCAATAGCTTTTGAGTTTAGCTAAACAAACATAAGTTGATTTTAATATACCTATATACATTATTCAATTATAAAAGACAATGTTTGCGTGTGTACGAGTAGGCAATTCACAGCCAAGCCTGTCCCATTGTTTTGAAATTTGGTACATAGGAAATAATATACCTTACAACGTGCCCAACAAACTTTTCAAATTTTCAATTTTAAATAAAAGTTCACACAAGGACTTGTTTGTTTACGAAAAACGAATATTTGTTTGATTGTATAGGGTTGTCAAAATAATAATATTAATTACAAAAAATAAAATAGTTTTTAAAATTGGATATAATTTTAAATCAATATATATTTTATACATTATGGTCAAAATCTGCATCCAAATAATGACTGTGTTATAAAATATGTGTATTTAACGAAGTTTTAGACAGGGTAAATACTAAATTCACAGACATTATTTAATTTGTAATGGCCTACACCTTGTAGTGTCAGCTATAATTAATAAAGACATCTTCTATATAAAATCAAATGCCTAAAACGGATTACCCTTATGCAAAGCCATAATTTTTAACCAATTTTATAAAATGTTCGTCAATAGGTATATATATAGATTTAGCAAGATCCGTACCTATTGTCGTAGGCTACTTTTTATTACTTTTTCTTTCTGACATTCGACACACAAATGTTGAATATAGTAGTATTCTTCGTGAAAAACTATCATTTTTTTATTTATATACATATTGTTGACGTTGATTAAAAATAATAAAATAGTTATTATAATAATTGGATATAATTTTAGACCTGTATTTTATATTAATTGATCATAACAACTCAAATAACTGCAGTGTTGAAAATCTGTGCAGTTTACATTTCACGGAGTTTAAGAAGGGGTAAATCCACGGACATTTAATTTGTCACGGGCAATGATATGTAGGATCAGCTATAGAATATAGTACCCATGATTAACTAACTAAGTTAGTTAATCATGATAGTACCTATAGAGTATAGATAGATCAGAGGTTTCCAAACTGTTCACAGTTCGACCCATTTTAGAAAATGTTTCAATTTCTACGACCAACAGCGGTGATTTCCCAGTTCATTGACACAATATTTACAAACATTCAGAATTCACCTAGTGTTAATAAAATAATTTATTTATGTATACATATTACATATATACATAAAACGTACCTATCTGATATAATAAAAAATAAAAATAAATGTATTACATAGTCATCAATATTTTGTTTTCTTTCTGAAACATAAAAACCTATGAACATAGAAGATTAAAGAAAACCATTTTTCATACCTTTCAATAATGGGTATTAGGTAATATAAAATGATAAGCGGAAATGGTATTTTGTTGCGTGTCAGCATACTTGATTAGAATAATTTAATTTTCTTTTAACTGGAAAAATATATGTAAAAATGTAGGTATATTACATAAGATATAAAACAAATAAATAGTATAATAGTATAATATAGTATAATTTTACGCATGTAGTAACCTTTTTTAACATTTGTTAACCAATTGTCAACATTACTTCTAATCTCACAGTGCAACTACTGCTACTGTTATGTAATAAATATGTAACTAGATTTTGCACATAAGGGTACTCACTCGTCCACGAAAACCGCGTTTTCACTAAAGTTTTCATATAATAATATATGATTCGTAGGGCATATACATTTTAATTGTGTGTTGGTGTGTTATTTGCACATCATAGAGCCTAGACAGTTGTTGACAATCGTAGGCGCTTGTTCTGACCTTTGTAGAGACGAACCGACTAACATCGCGATAGATGTCTAATTCGAGCAGAACGAAATAAATCAACGGCCGAGATAAACCTGCAAGCATAAATGGCAATAATATTATTACATCGCAAAGATTGGCGAACGCCATGTTACAATATAATATATAGTTTCGAATCAGAGCGGCGTAGCTGAAGGGTGGGGTTCGATGGGGGGATGTGCGCCCTTGGAATTTTTTATTGTTGATGTTGTAATCACGGTTATATAGATTGTATAGGTAATAAAATAGTATAGTACTTAAATAGCCCCCCCCCTCTTGGTTGAGCTCCAGCTACGCTACTGTATCGAATAAACGTACATCGTGCGAGCGAACATATTTTGTGCGTGATAGAATATACTCGTCAATTACACGAAACGGCGGAGGGCCGCCGCAGGTTTCAGAAAGTTGTGTAACGATGTCTTCCGAATACCTATACAATGTATTATTATTAAAGTATAATAGGCGAACATTGGTGTTCCGGAGCGAAAAAGACGAGTCACGATGGCGGATTGATTTAGGACAGATAAACGGTATACCTATTATAATAAAGTGAATAAATGGACTTCGGCCCTCGTAGTTGTATTATTATATCTTACGGCTATGGATACATTTTCAAATGATAGGGGACTAGAAAAAAAAAACTAGACATTTTCAAAACACCTATACGGCGAAAAAACTAAAAATCGTCTGTATTTTTTGGAAATTATAAAACCTCGTTGACGAAAGAAACAACAATGACGACTTCTAAACGTCCGCTTTGTCGTGTTATACGTAACAGAACAATAGAGCAGGAAAGTTGTACCTGACCGTATACGCTGTGTACGTAAACGTACATGCTGTTGTCACTTGTCACCATGAACTTAGATAACAAGATGTCCGTACGGAAACTGGGCCACCGATACGTTTCCACTGTTTCCAGTGCATATTATCTTCGTCCGTGGTTGTCATGGTTGCCACTGAACTAATTACCTGCACGAAATGCGTATTATGCATCCCGATTCGATTTTTAACATCAATAATGACTATTTCCATAGTTAACACAACATTTCATCATGTTTTCCCACTGGAGCTCCTCAATAAGTTTTCCTAAAAAGTAACCCGTAGGAGCTTTGGCCACATTCACATAAATATATAATATTGAAAATCGTATATGGCGGCGCTGTCTAACTAGGAAATTGATCAACTGTGATGACCAGTTCTTCACGCACGCGTTGGAGTTCAAAATTATTCAGTAGATGACGCTGCTGTTACTGAATTAATTTAAATCCAAACAATAAAACTGGCAAATTCCGTTAGCGACGTTAGGTTAGGTCCGTTAAGTCGGATTGTCCTCCTAGGTGGCTATTGGCTAACTTGAATGTCAATCGATTTCACTTGATGTGACCGACTTCGTATACACTCAATGGTATCAATTTAGTGGTCAATGGATTTTTAATTTACATTTCTTTACATACGAAAAAGCTCTGGATAGTCACTCATAGACGCCGAACGGGCGGGTCTGAAATCCACCGTGGGTGGATTGCTACCTGATTACCTGTAGGACTTCGTCGGATCGCTTACTTAGGTAGCTAATTTGAATGTTAAACGATTTTCACTCGAGGTGACGGACTTGCTAGACATTCCCACATAGATTTCGAATTTACATTTTTTACATACGAAAAAGCACTGGACATGAGACGGGGAACCGTATTATTCAATTTTCGTGGGTGAAGTGAGATTTCTAGACAGTAGACAGTGGAATGAATTTCAAACATTCCCGCGCTCGAAACGAGACCTCCAAGACTTATCAAAAATCCTTATCACCTCCTAAATTTTGTTTTTTAACCACCTAACGTCAACAGGAGTGACTTCTATAAGTAATTTCAACGACATTGTCGTCTGCATCGCCGAGTTTCATTGGCAGCTAGTTATATAATACAATGGCAATTGGCTACAGATTCATATAACATTTATATACATAGATATATACTCGTATGTGGGGATTGTACCGTTAACTTTACTACGTTCATTTAAACTGTTATCAGTTATCACCTGATTTAATTTTATCATTGGAAATACAGATTAGTCCGTGATTGGCCCAATCGCGGAGCGTTAAGTTAATGATAACAAATAACAATATATTGCCGGACGGCGAACGCCGCTCATCGCACATGGACAGAATTATAAATAATAATTATTATTTATTACATATCTTTACATTATCTATGTCGGTTTTCGGAATTCGGACTTATCAGATAATCATACGTATAGACCGCATGGTACCTACAACTTATTACGGGCACTTATTACGAGTTATGGTAGGTTGTGAATTGTCATAATATTGTGCTTGTGCTGTTGTGGTATCAACAACAAGGCGTCGTGACAATAGTGTTTGTCCGAAATCGTTCTATTTTTATACATTTTTCCGTGTATTTATAATTAATGCTTTTAGGCAATAAGCATGTTGTTGCTGGTTAACAACCAATTACAAAAGTCGATCTGTCTTTCGTTTACCATTTCCTTCAAGTTCCAACGGTTTCATTACCTATTTCATAATTTTTGATTTGTATTTCGTGCAGTTAATGGTTATTACTTATTACTTATTACATAATAATATTAGTAATAGTATGACATTTTAACTGGTAACTCTTAAAGATAAATAATGTAATATCGTGATTCGTATTGTTGAAGATTCAAATTTCAGTTCCTGCTTTATGCGTTTTATTTCAGTCACAGGCACATCTATAATACTCACCTAACATCATGAATCGTACTGACAAGATTCCTTGCTGTTCCTTCTGCCATAATAATTATTATATTGGAGGTAATTATAGTTTAAAAATTTGTGAGGTTTAATTATTAAAAATTATTATGTACCAAGCTATAAGTTATTACCCAGTACTCAGTATGTACATACTTATTAAGTTTTTTCTATAAAAAATGTTCATATTTTCACAATTTTTTTTGTTTAAACGATTAGAAATATAGCTAAATATTTTTTTTCTCTAGTAAAATATAGACTTAGTTTAAATTTGAAACTATAAAAATAAATAATTATGTATGTCGTTAAAAAAACGTCAAGTACTCGTATTGCACAGTATTCGCACTTACCTATTGGATAGACATATTTTATCCATTTAGAACTTCCTAACATTAATCTAATAAAATATTCATATTAACTCTTTCTATTCACCACCTCATTTTAAAATATATTTTGGTGGGGTCAATAGCTTTATTGAAAACTTAATCATACTTATAAATATGTAACAAAATAAAAATGTTCACCTATAATAGTTATTATTTTTTTCCTGGTTATAAGTGCCTAACAATATATATTATAACAAAAATATTGGACAAGCACATTCAGAAAATGTCATAACTGGAGGTCAGATTTGTATGATTTTACATATTTGTTTCTAGTCTATGCAGTTAAATGGGAGTGAGAAATCTTTACGATTCATGAAACAGAATTCACAGGAAAATATTTATTTTGTATAAAAAAGCATATTCGGGTGCTAGAGAATATTTGAGAATATTTTTGTAATATGCGGCATACCTATAATGAACATATTTCACTTATATCAGTACTTTAATAAATACAATGTTTACTAAATGATTTATTTCTGGGTTTTAATAAAAATTAATCTTCAGGTATTCCTTATCGATTGCGATAGCACATCAGTTATTTTGTTAGCTGTCACGACTATTTGTCTCACAATATTATCCACTGACATCGGTTGATGTCGAGCAGTCCTTAAACATATACAAAAACATTCTTACAAGCTAAAATGATACCAGAACACATGGAACAATATATTGTTATTAATTGTTATTGTAAAATTAGTTAAATTAAATATATTTAAAACAAAATTAATAAAAAATAAATTTAAACTGAATTTTTTTTTAATATTAAAAAAATATTTTGCATATTTAAGGACATGGAACATCATTTATCTGGTATTTTAAAAGAATATTAAGAGAATATATTGCCTATTTTATGTAACATAATAACTTCATATTTTAAGGATTTTAAGAGAATATAAATCCGATTACTAGTCATAACAATAGTATGGTTTTAACACTCTTAACTGAGATCTATTTAACCTTTTCACGGTTCCACTTTTTATTCTCTGCAACCTGTCTACGCTACATTAAATAAATATTTTTAATTTACTTAGGTATTTTTATAATATATTTTTACTTTTTATTTGAACTAGATTAGATTGACTTAAATATTAAGTTGAAAATTATGTAAAACAAGATTTTCCTATAATTATTAGTTTTCCAACAAATGATAATATTTTAAAAGAACGTTATAGTAGGTTTGGAGCACTAACAAGGTTATAATCATTTTTATAACTTGATGACTATTCATTGCTTTTGTGTTTATTATAATAATTGTGGTACTACTATATTATGATGAGGTTCTCTAAGCAAGATAATTACTCAACATAAAATATGTATCTTATCCAGCCTAAATTTTATAATGTTAGGTATGAGTTAATTAAATTCATTTTTTCCTTGTTTAGCAAATACATTTTACTTGTAGGTAGTTGCATAAAAATTAAAAATTATAATAACTTATTTTTCGTTATTTATTATAGATGCACATGGACCCAAGACTCCAATGTTGTTAGCTTGTGGACATGACATGTGTAGAAATTGTATTAAGTACTTGTACAGGAAGAATAAACAAGTCATTTGTAAAGTTTGTCGCACTGATTGCATGTACGAAACATTTTTATTTCCCTCGATGCCATATTCTTAAATAATTGGTTTCAATTTAAATTTATCTACCTATTTATTTTTTAAATTTCTACACTATTGTAATTTACAGGATTAAATGTGATGACGAAATATCAAACATACCTATACACTACTTTATAGTTGGTAAAGTATGGTACACATCTTACCATAGAAAGCATAAAATACATCAAGATATTTCTAATATTAAGATGACAAAAGTTCCTTCAATATCTTTCATAAAAACTAAAGGTTAGTTATTATTAATTTGAAATTTACATAAATAAATTTTATTTATTTTATGATTATTATAGAAAATTCTCCAAATTCTCAAAATTGTCAAAATTGTCAAAAATATGCAACTTTATTTTGTCAACAATGTGATGAGGTGTACTGTGAAGATTGTTCTCGAAAGGTAATTATTTTAAACTTTAACTCAAATTTCGTATTACTATTATTTTTATCAATTATTTAGATTCACAGGGATAATCAACATGATTTAAACGAACTGGATACTACACACCTTGAATTTCTTCAAGTATCTAAATGTGATCTTCATTTGAAAATTTTTGATTTCATTTGTATTACATGCGAAATTGAGTTGTGTTCCATTTGTGCTGTTGAAAATCACAGACATCATGATGTTCAACATTTGGGAAAATATGTGAGGATTATGAACATTTATTTATTTCAGATTTGATATTATAATATTCTTGATATTATAATATTCTTGTTTGATATTTTATAAATAAAACATTAAATAATTAATAGTGTGGTACTAAATTTTAAATTCCATTTAAAAAAATTCGAAATATTTTAAGATAAATGATGATGAATAGTTTGATATAATTATAAAATAATTTTTATTAATTTTAATTATTAGTAAAGGGAACATATTTTAATGTAAAAAAAGCCACCATAATACTATTTACTAATTGTAATTGAAATAAATGTGTATGAAAACAAACCAAAGTATGTAATTGAATTTTAATTGTTGTAAAGAATTTAAAAAAATTGTATTTCCTTAATTTATGCTTTTGGGCCATAATAAATTTATTGAATCATTAAACTTGGCTGGTTTTATGATTACATTTTATCCTACTGCTCATAATTTGAGAAGAACAAATTACTATACTCAGAACAGGGTTAACCAACTATTGAATTAGTTGTTTGAGAAACCAGAATTGTCCAAAGAATCGTGTTTTAATGCAGTTTTGAATTCCTTCTTATATTGTAGTACATAGATGTACGCATTTCCAAAGAATCTTGACTAGTACATATTTTTACCTTAACAATTTTTTAAGTAGCTTAACAAATAGACTTACTTACTGATTATGATTTTTACAATAAAGCCTTCGAATGAATCCACTTAGAAATGTTCATTCGGAATTTCTTTAAATATTCATTCAGCTACTTTTTCGCTGACACTTATTTTGATAACAAAATAAATTAAATTAATGCAGAAAAAATAAAGTACAACAACAAATGATAGTAAGACACACAAGTTAAATAAAACACAGATCATAGTCATTCCCCAAATATTTTCAGAACTTATACTTATGTCTTATTTACCAAATATTTTAAAATATGTACAATTAGATTAGTGCCAATTCATGAAGCAATTGTATCTAACCAGATATCAAATATAACAACTAGGTAAAAATATGAAATTTCAACTTAATCTGTTCCCTATACAAAACATTGAGCATGTTATATCATTAAAAAATAATAACCCTGTTTGGTTATATATTAATTATCCTGATTCTACACAACCAATATTTTTTTTTATACAGTTTTCAATAGTATTTAATTTGATTTTGTATTTACACTTAATTAATGTTTTCATTTTATATAAATGAATATAAAGTATACCAATATAATATGCAATTATTATTCATAATATAATAATAAATAAATTTATAATTCATACATTTTTATCTTTGGATTAATTTATATAAATAGAAAATTCCTGAATTAAAATATGGCTGCCATACTTTAAATAAATAAAAATAATATAATTGCTATCTCTTAATATTTTAATATCTATTTATTATTTAAAAAAAAATGTATGATTATAAACTTAATGATCTTATACAATCCAAATAACAAGATATGTATTTTGGTTTCTGGTATGTATTATACACTATTCAGTATACCACAGTTTACCATTAGTTTATTTATTTTCAAAATGCTTTGAAAAAACTCACACAATTTTAATTCAGTTAGTGAATATTTCTAAAATTATTTTTCAGAATTTGAGCAAAGTACAACACTTAAAAGAATGTTCATTAAAAGGAGACATTTTACTAAAAAAGTTGAAACATTATAGAGATGTAAGTACTGGCCTTCCATTATCATTAGTAAATATAAGATTTATAAATGAGGTATAGAGTAGAAGTATAGTTATAGATGCAACTAGGAAAAATGTTCTATTAGAAGTGGGGCTAAAATTGAAACAGCAGCACAGACTAAATATATACTACAGAATAATATTAAACAAATGGGGGTGAGGGGGGCTTAGCCACCCTCACTAATTGCGGCTATGAGTATTGTAAAACTATAAATAAACATTATTATATTCTACTCTCTTTGTGGAGAATTTCCTTCTTTAACTATAATATTCATAGATAAACTATTGTCTTATATTGGTAGATCCATAGTTTAAGGAATAAGAAGTATGCACAATGATAAGACTAATCATATTTTTTAAGAGCCAATGTTTATATTATGCATGCAACCAACGATAGATACAAAGTGAAGTCATAAGTGTATTATATTTAATTGTATACATAATTATATACTAAGCAGTATGCATAAAAACACAAGGCAAAACATATGTTTGAACTAGGACAAAAACACAGTTTGTGTTGTGAATACTTCTTATTACTTAAACTATTTGTAGATTTAACCTAAATTGTTTTTTTTGTAATCGCTTTGCTATAACTATTTTAAAATAAAATGCAAATTACAAAAAAAAAAAAACCTAAATTGTTGATCTGATATTTTTATAAAATTTCCACCAGAAAAAGAGATTAAGTGGATAATAATCCACTTCTATTTATAGTATAAATATAACAATAGCTACTATTCAAAATGAAGTTACCAACACAAACTTTCAAAATGAATTAATGTATCTGTAAAAAACATTTTGTGCTCATATGATTAATTAAGGTACAACCTGGTTTGTATTTTGTGTGTGCACGGAAGTTCAGAACAACATTTAAGCCACCATTTGAGCCAGAACTACTGATTTACTCTGTATATTAGTAAAAGGCTTATATTATAAATATAATCAATATATATGTTTGGCAAAAATGATGCATTTTTAACAATAATATTCACCAAAAAAAAAAAAGTATATAAAATTTAATGTTCCAAGTTGAGAATATTTATTTAAAAAAATTAACTTCATGATTATTAGAACTGCATAATACAACTACAATTTTAATCTTTGGTTTATAAATAAGATACCTTAAAAATAAGCATTTATAAATAAACCACACATTTTTAAAATAAATAATAGGATTTTTTACTTAATACTTAATCAATGATCATAATATTATTTACATCTTAATTATAATTATAATCTATTATTGCACATGTTTTCAAGTAATGTGTTATCTTATGTTCTATAAATTACAGATTTTAATATCAATACCTAACATTTTCTATATTTTCAAATATATTTTGGCACAAATAAAGTTTTTTTAACCGCCATGTTAAAGGCATACAACACTCATTATTTAATTAAATTTAATAAACAATTAAAAATGTGATCTTATATCTAACTAGGCAATAAAAAAAAACTATTGAAATTGTAATATTTCTTGTTTACATAAAAGCCTGTAATTATGAAACAATGATTACCTAAATCTGAAAATAGGTTTAAATAGGTTTTATTTTTGAAACTTTATAAACATGTATTTGTGTTTCTTGAGCATTAATTTTCTTGAAATGCTTACTAACTCTTTTGCCATTGAATTTGATATATTTAATTGGAATATTACTATCTGAACTGTAATGCACATTAATCAAACAATTTACATATAAGCTATTCTAATTATTTGAACATTGACATGAATAAATTTAGGTAGTAAAAAAATATGTACAAATTGTTTGCCCTAACTTTAAACATTGTTGACATTTAAAATAATTATTGTTTGTTATCTGATTTATGGTTGTTGAAATCTTCAAGAAATTAATTTTTTGATAAACATAAAATAATGTAACTGTTGTTACTGTTGATAAATGTAAAATCTTACAATTGTATGCATAATCTTTGTTTCATTGTGTGGACATATTAATAATTATGAAAAATTGAATTTAGTAATTAAACATTTTTACAGCTTAACTATTTTTAATTTGAGCTCTTAAATACATAATATCATACTAATTATTAATAAATAAAATATAGTGGTTGTATTAAATTAAAAATGGCACGTTTTCAGGCCAACTAGTTTTGGAAACTAGGTCAGTTTTATAATTTTTCTATTTAGTTAAAAATATATATATTTTTTGTATTTACACCTATCTATTATTAATTTCATTCCTAATATTTGCCCTACCTTTTTCTCGCAAATCATAAATATAGAACAAAGCAGTTCATATTGAAATTTATGCATCTACATCTAGCAGTTGTTGATATGGTGTTCTTACTGATTCTGGTTCAACAGTAGTGACATTAACTACTGGTGGCATTGGTGCTCTTTGTTGGCCTCTATTTTTTTCAGTTTCCTTAAATTTGTCTTCTAAATATCTATCTACTAAAGGTCCTTCATAATCTTCTGGAAAACTAGGTTTAGATGGTATTATATATTTGTATAAGCGTTCATTGAGCACATAGAGTTGAGCTGTAGTATCACATTTTACATTAAACCACCAGTCACAAGTTAGTGATACTTGATTGAATATAGTTCCATTTGGGCACAAAAATGATGCTTGACCACCATTTAAGTCACAGTAATGCCACACCTAGAAAAACACAATTAAATTGTAATTCGTAATTAGTAATTTATAAAAATATAATAAATAATAGGCATGTGGTTACACATTATATGAAAAAATATGTTATGTACATATTTTATTTATTTTTATTTTTCTCATAATATTATATAGAAAAAACATATGCAGCGATGTATTGATAAAATAATTCGTGTATATATGTTTTTTTCAATGCTCGAAATAAACATTTTATCTAACCTCCTTATTTATTTTTGTAAATTAAGTAAGAGTTATAGTTTAAAAGAAGGCTTTTTTGGATAATAATTATTTAAAAAAATAATAATAATGAAAATTGTAAGTTACACATGACTTTTTAAAAACCAATTTGAATTATTTGTTGGTAGTATTAAATGTATTTTGAAATGTCCACACATATTTCGTAGATTATAAGCATAATATTATGATAGGATATCTATTATTTTTTATATGGGTAAAATATTAATATTTATAGTTAAAACAAGATTATGGATTCTCAACTTAGGTTCGGTTATTGATCTCAAAATATTTTTCGATAATCTCCCGATATTTACCAAGTACGTAAATGAAAATCGAAAATTGCAGATAATTATAGAATATTTTGTTTATGTCTATAAAAATTGTAATAGGTCGGTATTCGAGTAAATAGACCTACATCGTATATAAATAATTAACATAGACATCTCACCACCCTCCCTCTCACCCACCCATTAATTTTTTTGTTCAAAGATCCTTGGTGCAACCGGACAAGTGTTCTTAAATCTTGTTCACTGAGCAAGTTTGAAATGTACAAAACATCCAGGTTACAGGTGTTGTATATGTTGTACACAAATTTATTTAATGTATTTATAATAATAACGACCTTATATGGATAAAAGCATTCCCTATGTATTAATTTATATGTATCTCATGCAGGAAAATAATGTATGATATAAAATAACGTTAAATACTTGGCACAGCGTTTCTGGATCTCCGAAGAAACCCTTATATCTTTGAGTTTTGCAATCGAAGCTAGTCTTAGGTATAACTGAGAGCGTCGGATAATCCACGCCCGGTCTTCCCGGATTCCCTACGTCGCCAGTATCATCATATTCGTCAATTGGATCTGGACGGTATTCCGGCTTAGGTTTCTTTGGTCGCAGTGGTCGCGCTTGTTGTTCATCGGCCTCGTTTTGCAATAACTGTAACACAGCTGACAAAGTCTGTATACTGGAACCGATGTTATCGGCCGTGATTTTGTTTGAAAGACGATTTCCCAAATCGTAACCGTCCAACAGTTCGTTGAGTGCACTGTATTTGTCTGTCGTCGTGGTTGTAGTGACCGGTGTTGTGGGTCTCTTTGGCTTTGGCCTTCTCTGTTTTTTAGTTTTGGTCGTAAACTGCAATTGTTCTCGTTGTTCTGGAAATGAATTTGGAGTTGGCGGTATCGTCGGTAAAAATCCGGCATGATTGCCATGTTTAATAACAATGGGACTAGCTCGAACATTTGGTTTGGGGCTCGTTTGACTGTAATCGTAATAATAATTGTACGAGTTGTCTGTCTGGTGGATAATGTACGGCATTTCAGTCGTTGTTGCTATTACAATAGGCCTTTTAAGTTTTGGAGAGCTTGGAAATCTTAGATATCCCGCAGGCGTAGCGTGTTGTTGTTGATGCATCTGTTGATTTGATATCAGATAATTATGTTGATGCTGGGAGGGGGGCTGTTGTTTTTGTTGCGGTTTCCTTTCATTTTGAAAATAAAAGTTATTTGGCTGTAAAGGTCTGGGCGTGTTTGAATTTGAATTATGGTTTTGATATTGGTATTGATATGGCACGTCATTTTGGTCGTTGTTACCGACCACGTAATACGTCACGTAAGGTATTAGGCGTCGGAAACGTTCGGCAGTTGACAATGATGTTTCGTTTGCATTTTGGCTCTTGCTCAATAAATTTTGATTAACCGTGTCTGTAATACAATCAAAATATTTTAAAAAGTTATAATTATACTACGAAAAAAAGTGTATAAGTGTTAAGGTACCTATCTAGTTTTAAAATCGAAACCAGTTGACTATAATTTACTTAAAAACCACCTATTATTTAAATTTTATAGTTTCGGGTGTTTTATTTTTGCAATATGATTTAATAATTTTAATTGGTAGGTAGTTGTATTGGTCATTCTTAAGTAATATAATTTTTTTATGTCTAATACCCTACACGAACAAATAATAAATCTGTAATGGCCAAATCGATCTAAATAAGGCACCTACATTTAATACTATTATTATAGGTGACCATTTCACAATTGGTTCACGAAAGGAATTTCGAGTCACTCGCTATTCGCTATTGTCCACAAAACGCAAATCGTGATCAGAAAATCTCTTTTATTTATCCAACCGTTGCCCACATACGGCAAACGTAAATGACTATTTAAGGCGTATGTGATATAATATGAATATTATTTAAATATAAGTATTTGTAATTCCGACAGCTGACACATGTAATATTTAAGCGTATTATTATTATGCTCTTAAAATTAACCTTGTGAGATGTTTTTAACAAGATGTAAAAGGGAAATCACATTGTGTGTGTACTTTATGGTGTTATTATTACGAATGGAAGTAACTTCAACGAACCGTATCGATCTTATGAAATTATTTTAATTAAACTGGGATAGTCACCACCACTAGGAGTTATAATATTATTGCATTGTAACATTATATTCTATCTAGAATTGATTTCTATATTATTTCGATTTAAACTATGCGTTATAAACCATAAGTAAGTATATTTTTTATGATTTCAATAGTTTATTATGTCTGCATGCGAAGTTAAGTCTAATATTTTTTATTATATCACAAAATACGGTTTCCAGAGAAAGTACGGTCGATTCGTCCATATGTGTCTTGAATTTGTAATTAATCACGACTATCGTGTTTATGCTAGAGTGATGGTTTCTGGTCATTTTTTTTATGTACAATTCAATTTTTTTTGTTATGGAATAATATTCATATAAGAAATGGAAAAAATACACTCCGAACTGGAAATATAACTAGCAGTATTTTATAATAATGTAAAGGTGTTTTCCTATATTGGACCTTGCATAACTACAAATTACATTCGTGAATAGGTCTAACACACTTTATATGCAATAATATTTTTTTTTTCAGTGTGATTTTCTTATTTTCGCACCGTGGTATTCCTCTTGTGTAATTCTCCAAACAAAACATATTGAGTAATTTATAATTCATCTTATTATTAGGAGGTTCACGTACACGTTGTTTATATACCTATTGATAGAATTAAAATTATTATGAGAATGTAAAAATATATTATAATTGCTGTTGTAGGTATGTAGTCTGTTATATTTAAAATTCTAATCGTGTTTTATTGTAAATCCATTCTACGAATATATTATAGAACTACGTTTTTCAATTTAATTATTGATAAGTATCATCATATGATCATTTTTTCTCATGAATTATTATTTTAAATTTGTATTACATTATTCTCAATAATTCATAATTTCACTGCGTATTGACAATGAATGAATGAAATTCCTTTTTAAATCGTTCCTATACCCGTTTATATACGCAATATTATTTATTATAATCAATTTACAAACGAAATTAATTTGTGGCACGTACAAAAACCGTGGGATACTGGACGAAGATAATATATTATATGATCTATATTATTGAGTGTATTATGAAAAACAGAAAATTTACTTTTAGAGCCTTCAAATATTTAGTTGTTTGTGATTCGAATGTTTTTCTTATGTAATAGTTGTTATTATATTATAGATAGTTTTATGCTAACGATTTTACGAACCTATTCAACCTATTACTAAAATGAATAATTATTTGTCATTTTGTCATTTTTTTAGATACATAACAAATGAATATGCATTTTTGCTTTTAAAATGGTTTTTGTCTTATTACCTACTTTATAAGTTAAAATAAAATAAATTTTTATTGAATTGACAGTAAGTATAAAGTTGCATATTAACTAATTGCTACACACTTATTAACACATAAAATGTATTTTGTTCATTGTAAATATTATCAGTTAATTTATTAGCTTTTAAAAAAATATTCTCGAAATAATGCATATTTATCTTAACGATCTTAGTGTCGTATCCAATTAATGGCAGTTTAGTATGCTTCTTTGATGCACTTATAGACACACAAATTTCAGCTGTACACTACTATTATTATTATTATATTTTTTTTAAAGCGTAATTCAAAATATTCTGTAACCAGTGTTTACCTATAATTTAAATAGATTACAGATAGTTTATTTGATCAATGCTTAAATATACATATACATTACATATTAAAGTATATTAAACTATATTAAACTATATTAAATATTAATATATATACATTTAAGAAAAAATCCGTGGTATAGAATAGGCAACATGAAATCAGTTAAAAATGGCAAGTTTATACTTAGTTTATATAAGAAGAAGCTTGTTCTCAAGTGAAGATATATTATATATCCAATAAACAACAAGTTCAACCTTCAACGACGTGTAATTTGTGCTATACTTAATAGGTTTGTAGAATATCTTGTTGCAGGATTACTATACAAAATGGACTAAATGTCTGAATATTTATCTTTTTCTAATTGGTGTACTTATTTATGCATTAAATTGATCACCGAGTAAGTTTATTAGCCTGTAGGTACTGAGAAACCATTAGCTTCAAATAGGGATTTCGTTTTATTGCTTACAAGTTTTTGGCCGATCTAAAAAATATTTTGTTTAAAGCAACATTTGCTAATAAAATAAAATATATAATCAATATTTGACTTGAGGACCCCCGTTGTAAAATAAATGTATAGCATAACATAATATATCATGTACTTTTTAGTGAGATTTGTTTCACGCGTAACGTAAGTAATAAAATAATATGTATAGCGAATAATTTTTATACCGAAAAATAAATGCGTGAGAAATATATCACTTTGTTATTACATATTACCTCGGATATCCATTTACTTTCTAGTTTTAATTGTTGCACTGGTATTACGATTTTGATTCCAGCAGGAGATGTAAGTGTACCCCGGTACCCGTATTAAACTTTGTCTCTATTGTGTTTTATCTGTCACTACTTTTACTTATACTTTTACGCTCTAAAAATCATTTAACTATTAACCGGTTTTTAAGTATATAATACGGTTTAATCGTTTTTTACATTGTTTATAATGAATAATTGGTATCGGCGTGAGATTAAGTCCTTTGATAATATATCACGACCATGCTTTAATCATATATAAAATCCAACTATTATACAAGTTTTGATTTGCAACAAATCATTCCTCAACTACATTTTTTTAAAATATTTATATCAATTTTTATTTTTTTACTTTTGTCCTAGATTTTAATTTTATACACATACAACTGTGTTGTTTCACGTGTGCCTAAATTTTATTGTTTTTTATGCAGAATCCACTATTTCCACAACCATGCTTCGTATTAAAACCAAAGCTGAGCAAATTTGTTGTTTTTCAGCTATTAAAGTTGAGTTACTTTAATACAAAAATTAAAGTAAATATAAGTTAGTTTCTGAAATTTTCCAAATTTCTAACTTAGTTGGAAGTTAGTTTGGTGAAAATAGTAACTTAAGGTAGAGTAGAAATTTGAAGTTATTTATAATTATAGTTTAAAATATAAATGTAACAACAGTTTGTTCAAAATATATCAGGTATTGAATAATGTTTTTATTAGGTACATGAATTAATTACTCGGTGTCTCGGTATCTAACTTAAATTAAAAATTTAAACCTAAAAATTATATTAAATAACTGATAATTTGATCAAATGTTTCAACTTTTAAGTAGGTAGGTTACAATTAATAACCCCTATTTCTTCGAAAATAATTCGAATATCAGTCATTAGAAAGAAAAAAGAACTACAAAATAACTAGTTGCTTAATGTTTTAAATGTTGTAGATTGGATTATTGTACACATTAAATTCAACTAGTTAAGTCACAAAGTTAGTATGAATTCAAACTTTTATCACTACTTAATTAAGTTATAAAGTTACTTTCTAACTTGACAGAGTCCAGTTTTGGTTAAAACTAGGTATACCAGTGTTAAACATTATAACGATTAAAACGATTTAAAAAAATATATTTTTCAATATTCTACCAAGTCATTATTTTAAACCTTAAAAAACAATCTCAAACGCTTATTTTATTCAAATTATTGTTCAACGCGTGATTGTTAAATGTTATATAAAATAGAATAATTAAAATTTTTTTTATAATACTCTATAAATCATAATAATATAGGATAATGTATATTAAAATTCCACGTACCTGTGTCGATACTGTGCACTGCGCTGTAACTCAACAACAGAATACCGTAAAACGCGATACTACTAAGCATGTCCATCGTGAACACAACACTGCTGTGCATGCCGCTGCATTCGATCTGACTAACCACTGTCCAAGAGCTGCGCTGGGGTCCTCCTCCTCGAAGCTTCGTTGCAGTATAGGCTACGGCTATAGTGAACGGGAAATGGCAAATTCTAAAATAATAAATAGCCAATAGAAATGTACATACAGTTATGTAATTATCTGTGTTATTAAGTATTAATTTAGAATACAATATAATAGATAGACTCTTGGGTATAGAATTTATCCTAACGTTCGATAAATCACCCGTTATAAAAATATGTTTTATGTAATATGAGCAGTGTAATATTATTTAATACATTTTGTTAATCGAATATTTGTTTGTGTATTTTTATTTTTACGCTTATACCTACATATTATATTATATTATTATGGTTATTACGTAAAAATGTTTCGTTAAAGTATTTTTATTTTATATTAAAGCACAAACACTGTACCTTGACATCGTGACCACTGGCGTACAACTATTATGGGATTACATTATTTCTTTAAAATATGCGCTGATGCCCCGATGGTGTTATACTGTTACATCTCACATATACATATATTTACTTTTGAGATTATACAAATTTATCGCATACATTAATGTTTTATTATGAATATTCCTCTTTTCGGTTAACTAACTAGAAGTATGTGTACAATAGTTTGATCGAATTACTAGTTAAGATGTGTATTATGCTGTTGTTTAAGTTGTTTGTTAATCTTATTATTTTATCATGGATGGGTACTGTTCTTTAACATTTAGTTAATTTTTAAGAGTATTTTTCGTCGTATCCATAAATATTATAAACACTATAATAACGATGTGGTACGTTTCATTTTAGGTATGTAAATTAAAATCGTTGTTATAATTCAATTTTTCATAGTTAAGTACTGAACCACAACAATAATATTATATAAAGACTACAATTAAATGTTATCACACTGAGAAAACCCTTAGTAATAATTAATATTATTAAAAAAAAACAAATAAATTATTATTTAGGTATTCTTATTTTGTTAGGAAAGTCGAATATACCAATACAGCAATATAACGTAGTTATTTTATGAAATATGATTTTATGAATTATTAATGATCAATTAAAACGCTTGTTGTAATCACAGGTGTGCATGTTTTCATAGAAATATATGTGATTTAAAAAGTATATTAGAGAAACTGAACAGTTAAATGAATAATGGATGCATGCAATTATATTTCTAAAATACAACGTAGGTAATAGATAGATAGAATATAGGTATATTATTATTTTGTAAAAGTAATTTTTAATATGCTTTGACAATTGTATATCAATTAGGAAATGGTCACTTCGGTACGAGGTAACACGTATGAAGTAGTTGAATTTATAAGTTATAAATATTATATTAATTTATATTTGATGGTACCTATAGGTATTAGGTAGTAATTGTATTTATTATATGGTCAGTGCATGACAAATATAACGCTGTGGCTTGTTGCAAGAAGCGGCTGTCGCATTTGAATGTAATTGAGATTATTTGGCCAATGTGAAATTTTATTAATATTTGTTTATTTTATTTGTGGTAACATGGCCAATGTATCTGATTCAGTATGACCGACTATTAATACATGTATTGATTATTACTATTAGGTTTTAATAATAAGTTAAGTTGTTTAATTATTAAAAAGCGTTTATTTTATAAATGATTATGGCCAAGTATAAATATTATTTTATCATCTATCAAGAAGGAAGATGTGAAAATAAAATCAAATTTGTTCATCGAAATTCCATAACTATTAAACGTAAAACCCATAATAATGTTATTAATTTTTTTTGAATTGGCCTATTTTAAATTTAAATTTCTCTGCAATGTTTTTTTACATCGGGCCTTCTTTCACCAAGCCACGGAATGATTATGATGAAAACAATGTAATACTGTAGACTATTCAAAATTTATGGGTGATTTTATTGAACATATCAAAATTTTTTATTAGAACAACTGAATAACTCACTACATTTATTACGATTTATTTTTATAATACCTAATACATAATATATTAATATGTAATAATATTTTGTATAATATAATGACCGCAAATCTAAATTTATTTTATTTTTGAAATGTATGATTTGAATTGATTTACAGTTTTCACTTATGTAGTTTAATCACAGTAAACTACTCAAAATATAATATTCTGTAACTAGTGATATATATTGATACTTACCTAGTATATTTTGGTGGCTTTTATTACTATGTTATACATTTTAAATCCGTGATATGCATCTTAGTGTACTTCGTTAGATAAATGATAAATTGTTATATACACATATTTTACGAAAAATAGATAGTTTTGTCATTAGTTCCGGTTTTACAAGTTAATAGTCGGATCTGGAGGATTTCACTATGATACCTAAGCGTCCATTTCCCTACAAAACACAATCATATTTACGATACTAAAACGAAAGTAGTTGTTGACAGTGAATAGCACAGTAGCTATATAACATGTATATGAAAACTTCAAATATAATAATGTATTATAATTACCATATACATGTATGTGTACATAAACACACATTTTGTATTATCGATAAAATAAAGTATTAATTATTTTATTAGCGCAAGAACTCTTTCTTTTTTTTATATAATTATTTTTAAACTTGAATTTGCATCACATATTTCTGGGTACAAAGTTGATTTACGTTTGTAGTATAAAATAGAAATGGGTATTATTTATACGCAAGCAACATTTATTATTAAAATGTAAAATAATATATCGATAATAAAGAAATATTCAGTTTTAATCGTCTATATTTAAAAACATTCTTTCTCATTCCATTATACTCTTCTCTTACAGATCTTTCTCATTAAATGCTTAACACCCTGCATTTTTTATTGTAGATATCAGATGTTTCGGAGATAGTATGGTAAGTGATGAGTGTGTAAGTCGAAGCCTCTTGTGTGTCTTTTCCCTCTAGAACTTATTTGGTGCTTAAGCCCCTTTAATATTTTCTGGCGATTTGCTCCTATTTTCTTATTTTTCTATAAATCTCCTTAAAAAATCTAACTTCCTTTTAAATGACACATCTGCCCCTAATTATGTTTAATATATTAATACTGCGTGTCTGTGTAATTTATTATTAAATTCATGATAAAAAATAAAATAAACCTATTTTATAACAACCTGTTTGTCTGTCCACCGATCTTAACGAGAATCTATTTACATAATACTTAATGGTTAGTTGAACTTTTAAAAACTCATATATAAAACTACTTTTTCCTTGTCATAAATATTTCCATACTCATCTTGGATTATTTTAACTGTCAATTATAAAGGTCTTATAGTTAAATCATAATATCGACTATATAAGAATACATAAAATGCATCAAGTCGTGCCTCTTTTACGTTTACAGGGAAAGTATATAAAAGTGAAATGTATCTATATATTGTATTGATTATTCGAAATAACCATTTTTTTTTTACATTTGGTAAAAAAATTCTGTCAAATCCCGAGTACAATAGTACATATTCATGTATAGACTATAGGTAGATGATTATGTACATTCAAATCACAATAAAATGCCTGTCGAACATATTATTATCATGTTGAAGGGATCATTAAACCATATATATATATTATAAAGCCATAAAGGAATACAATATTATGATCATCCGTTTGTCCTCCACTGGAGCAAAGGTTAACCCAAGGGGAAAACAATAGATGTTATACGTCATGCACGGATCGCCGCGCGATGTGCCTTAATGCCTTGTAAAATTACAAGAGTATAATATTATTATGATTATTACTATAGTATATCGTGTGATCGAGTTGTATAAAAATAAGAACAAGGACGACTAGATTTTATATTGCATTGTGACAATATGCATTCGAGGTAAGACCGATGGTCCCTAACAATTGTGCTTGTGCGTAAATGTATCGAACGGACGAAATACAAAACATTTGAGGTAAAACCAGTTCGATTGAAGAATCGTATTAACTGTAGGTAGATAATGTATATATTGTCATAACACAGGTGGTCCGTAATTCAAGTGTACGCCTATATATAATATTATTATTATACGATGTACGGTTATAAAGTTCAACGTACTTATTTTTTTTTTTTTTTGACAATTTTCCAATAGCGATATCATGTTATTGCTTCGAGACCGTGTATGATTAATGATCGACAATTGATCATCAAACGACGAAACAACAATATAATATCATATGACATTTTCGTCACGCATCGAAAACAACCTATACCAGCATATGAAACCTTATTCGATGAGATTTGGCACGTGCAGACGACGAATATACCGCGAGTCGTGACTGCTGGGTATCGTACAAAATAGTTTTTCTCGAAATATTGATTTCGTCCGTGGCGCCGAATATATACCGCGAGTCGTGACTACAGGATATCGTAGAAAAAAGTTTTTTCTTCAAATATATTGATCTCGTCCGCTGTGCTGATCTGCAGCAGTGCGTATAGAAAGTCGGAGTTTACGTATTATGTTATATTATTTCACCTTCGCGTGCCGTGTTTTTTCTTCTTAACGCCGCCACGTCGCTCCGTGAGCTTTAGGCTCTGAATCCCATTTGTGTTACAATAAATCAGCACTCCCGTGCATGCGTTCGCCTTCGTTCGCGCGTGTTATATATTATCCATATAATAATACGATTATTACACCGATAGCTCAGCGAATCCATCAGTTTCATTTCGTAAGAACGATCGACGTTTTTTCAAAATGAATAATTTCGTTAAACGCATTGCGAGAAATTATCTTGTGCGTGTACCGCGTTTATTTGATCATCCCGATTCGATCACGCGAAAACCCGACCTAACCGTAAACCGGACGTCTCGTGCGCCGTTCTTGTTTCGGCAGACATTATTAATTGTGATGAATCGCATTATAGCCGATACGTGATCGTTTTGTGTATATAAAATTATGTCATAACGTGTGTATACGGGTAAATGTATTATTGAGTAAGTCACAGCGATGCTAAAATATGTATTATGTTACGCGGTTATGAATAATATCTGTGAGAGATGAGTGTACATATTATACTAAAGAGATGTGTACACCTACCTGAATAAATCCGACACAAAAACTAGTTTTCAGACGACTTTTTTTTATACGACAGCAAAATATTATAAAGTTTAATAGGTTCTCGCTGTATTAAGTGTTTCATTGCGTCATATTTCTCCCGGCGGTATTTGATCTAACTACTCGTGACCGGGAAAGAAGATGCCGCGTAAAAATTGCTCTCGGGGTGTCATCTCTTTGAGTATGGGAAGTAAAATCGTTTAACACAACGTGTGTAAAATAAAATTAATGAGTAGGCTCATACGTAAAAATACATAAAAAAGAAGTGTAAGTTTGCATTCATTTTTTTATGGGTTTCGTTTACGTGTATTCCAGAAATTGATGAATATCATGAATTGTAATAATTAAACGAAATTATTATGTGTACGAAGCCGAGAGTTAACTTTCACGTTAAAATGGCCAACTAAAATGATCTGTGATATGTGTAATGTGTATGTTGTGTGTGTGTGAACCGAATTCCAAGACTCAGTTAATGACCCGTCTACTTTCGTTTTTCACAATTAATTTAAAATACGCATTTTTATGTTATTATTTTACATAACCGAGTTGAGTCCATCGTGTCCAAGCAAAAATATTACAATCTAATCACCTCGTTTTTTAAATAAAAATCCACAAACAACATGCCCATAATATATTATATATATATCATTCATTAAAAACGAATGAAAACTGATGCGACTGCTGCGGATTCGTTTAATAATAATATACACTAATATAATACTGTCTTCGCGGGTTATCGTTTTTCAGCTAGATAAATACTTCCTAGTGTTGTATCATACAGGAAGACAAAATGACATTAAATTAGAGCGAAAGTAATATATGTGTAATGTGTATACTACTTATTGTAATAATTATAGTTCGTTATTTTTTTTCCATTATTCTCAAAACTGGTCTTGACATTGATTTCTGGTCGCTTATTAGAATCGCGCCCTTGAGGTGCCTAAACGGTGAAAGTAATCGGTTATAGTAATATAATAATTGTTGTTAATTTATTTGATTTTTATTTTTTTCACCGATATCGTTTATTGTGTGCACCGGTGCCACCTAATGGCGGCGATACTGGTTACAATATTGTACAATCGCAGTGTCTGAACAGCAAAGTGTCGTCTGTGTACTTGGATATTATGTTAAACGAATGTTTTTTTAACAATTTTTTATCACTTGACATTTATTTTCGTATGTATGGGAAAATTTGTTAGTTATCGAAGTATAGAAAGTAGAAATTAAAGAAGACAACTGTTCGACTGAGAATAATTTACGATACTTAATTAAATACATAATAATGACATTAAACAAATATCTGTTTCTAAAAGTAATGGTTTAAATTCGAATGTATAAGGTGGAACAGACTAGACGATACTTATACCTGCAGATGTTATGCCAAATTATCAAGCCATTCCCGAAAATTAATCCTAGCATTGCAAAACTCTTGACCGTGGCATTTTATAAAAACATTAAAAGGGAAATTGCAATGTAATCATCTAGTCCAAGAACAATTGTATACTTATGCTAGCATGCTACTGTGTTAATCAAAATTATAACGTTACAAAATTAATGACCAAAATAAAAGTTTTAAAAATAATTGTATGCAAGTATACATAATATTAATAAATATACAGTACTTATAGTTTGTTGCAATAGCTTTTAAATATTTATATTTCAATTGCGCTTATAAAACTATAAGGTATCGAATTCTAAACTAAGATACAACGTAACTAAGAAGGATTTACCTTACGATACAGCCTCTCAGTTTGTATTTCTGCTCGGGAAACGGAATGGTGTAGGGCGTTGCTGCTGAGTTAGACCTGCACCGGTGATCGATATTGATCAACTGAACTTATTAAATCATTTACGTTATACCCATTTTCGATATGTAAATAACTGGCGGGGGCACAAGATAATCTCTATTATTATAGAGTACTTAGCCAACACAATTAATTAAAAACGGATATCAGGAAGCGTTCTGATTGGCGGGGCCTGTGTGTTTATTAGGCCCCAAGCCCACCGTTGTCTTAGTTTTTATATTACTATATTTTAGTATAGTATGAATAATGATTAAGGCAGGTACTATATATTAAACGAATTAATTTTAATCTTACCCTTTCTTACCGTCGCTGCGTGTGTTATTATATTATTTACAATGTATACATTCTTAAATAGTCTGTGATTTGGTCAGTGGTGTACCCATATGGACTATTGCTATGGGAAATATTTTTTCATCTCTTAATCATTTTTATAATTCTATCTCTGCAATAAAACTGTTCTCAATATAATACATATTTATGACTAATATGTTATACCTATATATTGTTAAGTATGATGTTCAAACATTAACAATAATTAAAGTAAATACATCACAAACATTTATATTGACAATGATACACTATTTGTGATATTGTAAAATACAATTTATTGTTTTATTGTACTTTATCAAATACTACCTATAAATAGCTAATTATTTAATCACAACTTTGTTCCGATGAACCTACACATTCTGAAAATCAACTTACAATTACTTACAAATTAAGTACTACAACTTACAAACGGTCTGATATAAAGTATGTCAAATTGGGAAGCTAACTTCTTATAAATATGTTATCAAAATATACATTTTGCTTATTCTTTTTTGAAAATCAGTTAATTACATCATTCACTGGTATTTCCTTATTAATATGCAATAGTGCTAAATGCTAATCCACATGTGATCGTAGTTATGTGCCCATTCTCGAGCGCAACCACTTTTTAAATCTACATGCATTCAAGCATAAAAAAGCAAATAATAAATTAATTGAAAATTCAATATTGCGTATATTATAAAAAAGTACAAATTATTTGAATTTTAATTATAAAAAAATTCAAATTAGGTAGGTACATATTAAAATTAAAATATTGAAATACCCTGCAGCAATCAACATTTAGTTACTCTTAAGATTTGAAGTATGGATTTAAAACTTGTTAACTATCATTGTAATTTATCATTAAAGCTAGAAAAAATTATAAAAACAAATTTTTCCCAATATCCCACTTAATATAATTAATTGTTACTGTTCAGTGAGCAGCCGTCCCTCCTCACGAGTTGCCTGTAGATTTGTTCAAGTTGGGGAGGAAAACCGTTCCGTATTTCTTAGAATAATAAACATTTTTTAAAACTATATTATTATAGCTATATAAATTTCGTTTCCCTCTCTACACATATTGTGTGTATGAATATAATGGTTAGAGTCGACTTTGATTATTTCCTGTAAATCTAAATTGTGGACTTTAAATCGAAAATAATTATACATTTAAACTTTTAAACATACATTCATTTACAGTCGTTAAATAATATAAATATATACGTTATAACGTGCAGGTACTACCTATAATACTACTCAATAAATAATAACCACACCTACAACCCAATGTACACTTATGAAATTATGTCCGTGTTCTGCGTATCATTTGTTAAATACGGCTAGGTCTTAAACTATAATATTATACTGTTCATTCATGTATATAAGGTGTACCTAACTCTTACGGTTTTTGATATCATGTCGTCGTTAAGTTGACTTAGAACTGTGATCAAATAAGCATTGCACATTGCATGTGAATGGGAAATTAAATATTTTTAAACGTTTAAGGTCGATTATTCGTTGAGAGGTGGGGTAACTATTACTATTTGAGATGAAAAAGATATAATCTTTTCGTAGCCCTTTGAGGCATGACACACTTGTTCTAAATATACGATTTTAATTATTGTAATTTATATTAATATCCACGTTTGTTTTATTTATATTTTTTTATCCGTGTATGTAATTTATATATTCTGTATAATTATGTAATATAAATATCACCTTTTAAATTCCAAAATACAAAATGATCTGTTGAGAAAAAAACGAAATGACAAAGCTAATACATTTATATTTTAGGTCCATTTCATTGCATTAATATTATATTTTGTTTATTATTAAACTATATTTGTTGGATTGTAGTTTTACTGTGTGAAAATCAAAATCGAATTTATTTTATGTTTTAGATATGATTGATGGCCATTAATTGCATTTGAATGTGATTCGATGAAACCTTTTCATCATATTTCTTTGCCGTGATTATTGTACTAAAAATAACTACTTAAACTTTACCTTGGCATTTAAAATGTGTTCACACAAACATACAGTACCTACATTAGTATTATTGGAAATTAGTTTTCTATTATATATAGTTTGTACTTATTTTACAAATTAAAAAAATCCTAATGTGATCCGTATTGTTGGTAAAGTATTATCGAGACCTAACTAATGCGTATGTATAACACGTATATGGATGATACGAAGGTAAAATGATTACCGTTCGCATTTATTATTATTATTATTATTGTTGTTGCTGGCTGGTTGATCTGACCCTGACTCACATAGTACTAAGTGTATGGACTGTACATGTATGATGTATGTGCGAATAGAATTGGTTAATTTAATAAGTAGGTTCAGAATAAATATATTCATTATTCCTATAATGTCTCAAGATGTTATTGTATTTTAAGTTTACCCGTGTACTGTGTAATTAGAAACGTCTTGTTCGCTTGTTCCATCGATACATATTATCGCATATAAATCCATATCGCATATATACATATGTGTGTATAGTTCGTTAGTGATTGGTCCATATTTTTCATCTTACATTTCGATATACTCGGTGTACTCAAGGGATAGGATCTTCGGAATGCAGTAGAGAGAGATGACTACAGCAGTTTACTGGGTTATAGTTATTGGCTAATCTTCAATAGGTTCTTAGAAAGAAAAAATATATATTTTAGTTTTTGAATTGTTGTTCAGTTTATGTGCTAACGGACCTTAAATATAGCCACAACCGGACGTAAATTGAACACACATATGACACCACATATACACAGTCAAAGTAGGCATCTGCCCGAAGCGCCGAAATGTTGAGCGTGGGAAGGTCTGTGGGACTTATGAACCGGCTATAGCCCACTAACTTTACATCATACAAATATATTATGAATCGGTTGTAGGTATATGTATATTTATTGCGAAAATTGGAATTATTTTCAATCTTATATTTGTACAAAATAAAAATTTCATTTCCATTTGAAAGTTCGTCTGCTGAACGCGATTTGTATTTCATATATTATAGATTTGCATTGAACCCGTGGTTTGAAAGACATAGTATAGTATATATTACTTTTTCATAAATTAATTTTTGCTAAAAACAAAATCATCTGGTAGCCTTGGATAATTGAATATAGCATTTCTATGTATGGTCCGATATATATATGTAATGATGTCTTTTAGAGTTCCCAAGTCTTGGATTATGTACTGTTGTAGATTTAAAATATTAACACAACAATTAAAAAAACGAACCCAACATTTTATTAGTAAAATCGTTAACATATTTACTATAAAATTGGTGTTTAAAATTATAAGTACAGTTAAAAAATTGTTGATCCAACACTGGTAATAGGTACCAAGACTGTTCTTCCTTGTATGTCGGGACGGCAACCATCTATGCTACATATTTTAATACAAAATCCCTTATATTCAGCGGATCCCAAACGGTTACGACATCGTCCAACATACTCTTTCTGTTTTCGAGAAAACATAATAAGTTAAGTTCATGTAAAATTCTGAGGATCATAACTGGCCTTCCACGTCCGTTCTGATATATATACTATCGACTGATAGATATGCTTATATTTGAGAGATGATGCTTTTTTAAAACCGTCTGTTGTTTTCAAGAATAAATAATGTAATTTCATAATCAATATGTCAAATAGCTTGGGCTAGGTCCTTTGCCTACACTTACTTTTGAACGTGTAAGCAGTAGCCTTGCATGGTAATCGGTTCGCGTGCATGGTGTACTTTATATACTTATCTAGGTATACGATAAACCGATACCGCCGGTACACACGACCAAACCAACTACGAAGACACACTGGCGATTTACATAATTGTAAAATGAGTGCACCACGATAGTAGGTAGGTACATCGATTTCTCGAGTAACGTTGTATGTATTAAGATTGAAAAATAATTGCGAATAAAAATTATTGTTTTATATCAACGACCTCAGCAAAGATTATCTCCGCCTGTGGTTTGCTGCAGGTGGTCGGCGAGAGCGCAATCGTGTGAAACGTAAGACGCGTGTACTGTAGTATATGGTTTGTGCAGTATTAATTAATGACTCGTCCGTATAGTAAACTACGTACAGCCGTTCAAGTATTTGTACAAAATTATGTAATTTTGTAAACATTAATTTTTTTAATAATCTGTAAACGATTAATTACCATTTTTTACGATCAATATGAACCTAATTTTCGATTAAATATTATTATATCGGTGTCTTACGTTATTATATATATTTTTTTAGGTGATTAACTAACCTGCACTTTTTAATTATCCTCGTATCTATGAAGTACTAACATAATTTTACTATATATTTATTTTTGTCGTAACTTAATTTAACAACTATACTTACAGTATCTGTTGATGTAACAGAATATTAGGAATATACATTGTATGTGCTTATTTATGTACACAAATATTCTGAAAATGGATAATCGATCACATTGAGTATAGTAAGATAAATACAAACTCAATTGAAATTTGATGTTTCTGAACTCTCGTAGTTTTAGGTTGTTAAACATTTTTAAAACACAAATTATCACCAAAAATAACAAATTTTCTGATACATATTACTTGCTTTTGACAATTTTTTAACATACAAAATTCCGCCTGTTTATAAGATTAAATGTATTAGTTCAATCGTTAAATTACATTATTATGTGTCTTAACTCATACGTGGTTAAACATATGTAAGTTTAATCAAAAATTCCGTGAATGTAAAATAAAATATTTAAAATGTAGAATATTTAAAGTATTATTATTCAATAAACTTAATAATTAAATGTTTGTTCTGTTTATACATATACTAATAGTAATTATCTAGGTAAGTAACTTCTTTCTTTTTGAAATTTATCTCTGATTAAAATACGATTGAGTTATCGCACTTCTGACATTATTATAATATGTATATAATGACATTTTCATTGTATAATTTTAGTATTTAAACACAAAGTATTATACTTTATAATTTTACTTTTTTGGCAACTATGGCCATTACCGTCTATTACTATTACAATTTTACTAGTATTTTGCTTATACTTTTATATATTTTTTTTTTTTTGTTTAGCTTAAATACTTGTCGTTTCAAAATAACATAAATAATTCCATACACTCTTCAAAAAAAATAAATCAGATATAATATATCTGTTGTATTTTAACAAAAATCAGAAATTATCGTTCTACAATCGTATATTCTGTTAAGTGCATTTTAATCATTTTCGATAATGTTTTTTTAAATAGACAAAAAATGTGTGCTGTGTGCTTAAAAATCAAAGTTCTTAAATACTTTATAATTATCTCTAGTTATATTATTTCTAAATTTTACTTACGTGTTTAACAGAAAATATACAACTACTAATAATAATATTGTTATTTGAGCATATAATATTATATACATTTCGTGGAGCGTTCCGATTTAAATGTACTGTTACAAATAAAGTAATAATATAGTTACATAAAATGTTAAATAAATAACTGAAAATTCATATGTTGTTTGTTTGTGTGACATATATCGATACATTGAATAATGAATAACATACTGTCTTCAACATAGAGTAATGCAATACAATAACAATTACATTTTTGTTAATTGCTCTAAAATCTGATGTAATATTGTAGTAGGGTTTCAGAGGCTATAGTTGTTATGATACATTTTACTATGAATTAACGTCCTAAAACCACCTTAAATACATTATAGCTGTGTCTATCGGTTATAATTTATTTATTATTAAGCATTTATCCAGCTATAATCTTTTTTTTTTAAATATCTAGTTTTGAATAACAAAAGCAAATTATTTCACACATTGTTTTTTATATGCATAAATTATTGTTTTACCTATAATGAAACAAATATATGTATACTTATTATGTTTACAATATACCTATGTATAATCACAAAAATATTTATTTTTCGTATTAAAATATGGTATTCGGTGGATTCCTCGTTTAAATTATTAATTTAGTACTTAAATAATAAATATAATATGGTATAATATATATAATATATATATAATGGCTTAAAAAAAACAAGTTATATAAAGAAAAAATATGTCGCCTTCTAGAAGGGCGATTTGCCTATTAGATAATATAAGTTTAAAAAAAATATATATATGTATAAATATATAAATATAGATATGTTATAAATTATAATATAGTCATCAACCTTTGTTCGCATAACAATTGCGCACATAATGCATGCAACGTCCATATATATATTATATGTGAAGTAGATATATAATATGAATATAGATGTATATTGTAGAGATTCAAATGAAATCATTTTGGAAATCGTTATTAGCTTTGAAATATGACGAAAATTATTTACACATATATAGTTGCTGTATTATTTACACATGTATAGTTTCTGTAGCGAACAAAACGAATATATTTATAAACGGTGACCTTAAGACAATAGTATTATAGACGTAAGTAGGTACGCGTCTTGTACAACAAATGATGCAAACGCGGTGTGCGCGAGCGTCCGATTTACATACAACACTAATGTGGTGTGTCCATGTACTGTCTGTAGTTGAAACGATTATTCTCTTTACAGCGCGTATAATAAATAATAATATTCTTTTGTGAACCGCACAAATCGCAATTTTTTCCGATCATATTTTATACCTAGTTGGAAAGATTATCTCGAACATTGGAGTATTTATGAAATGTATAGTGATGGAATACGCGGGATTGCCGATTGACGAATTATTATGACGGACCAATGTAATACAATATTGTATAATATACTTGTTTAGTTGTATGTATACAACTTTCGATAGCCAAAATTGTAATTTAAAAAAAAATTCAATCTCGGTCGCTGTGTGATTATACTTCGTGAACCTATATAGCTGACATTTAATATAATGTTAGGATCTATATAGGCGATATGAGTGGCGTAGACCCCCCGGTTGAGATGTCAACCGCCGTACGCTTGGTGGGCGGTTGTCGTCACGATATATGGGGTCACTCGCCGCGGTATGTAATGTATTATTATATGGCGTATTATATACACGTTATTAAATGTGCAAATTAAATTTTATTCGTTTTTAGTCGTGTGACGTTCGCGGGCTGTAAAAATGCTATCGCCGTGGGCGTAAGCGGAATTCTAGAAAATATGAATGTACAAAGGTCTTGTCGACTTGACGATATTATAATATGATATGTTCGCGGTGGCAGTGGACGTTCTGTTGACAGGTTGTTGTACAAGCCGCAGGCACCATGGTCACTTTCTAAAGTTTACTTGATTTATATTGTATAGGTTTCAAAATCTTTCGAGAGCAAAAACTAAATTGATCGTTTATGCGCTTATTTATTTAAACCGTTTGATTTTTTTCTAGTTTGAGTTATTGTTGGAACATTTTTTATGGGCATATAAAAACTGTTATATTATTTAAGTGCGATAATTAATATTGATATTCCCGAAAGAGAGAAAGAGAGGAGACGAGACGTCGCTTTGCGTGCGATGTATATATGGAAGGGGTGGGAGAGAGGTGCATCTGAAGAATTTACCAATTTTACCCTAAGAAAATTACATTTAAATTTGCCTTATACCCTTCAGATACACCTTGTTTACATATCAACCGAACTGCCTCTGACGTCTTGTTACATCGTATTTAAAAAGTATGAATCATAAATCCTATACATGTGTGTGTGTGTGTGTGTGTGTGTGTGTGTGTGTGTGTGTGTGTGTGTAAAGGCGTTAAACACTGTTATGATGTGGATATAAATCTTGTAGTGTCCGATCAGAGGAATATCTGGTCGAGCAGCTCCTTGGTGAGAACTCTGTGGGGCCTATCCGGTCGCGGTGTGGTCCGGTACAGCCGCTCGTTGATGTGGTACAGTTCCTTGCTGAGGTCGCATCGCACGTTAAACCACCAGTCGCACACGAACACGGCCTGACTGAACTGCGTTCCGTTCGGGCACAGGAACGACGCCTGCCGGCCGTCGATGTCACAGTAGTGCCATGCCTGGCACCTGGTGTCCACGTCCGCGAAGAAGCCTGGGTACGGTTGGTCGTCGCAATAGAAGTCTGTGTATGGTACCACGGCCAGTACCGGGTAGTCCGTGCCTGGTTTGCCTGCAACGGGAGCGAAATGTTAGCATATATGTTTGGATTTTTTAGTTTTCAATTATTGTATAACCAATCTCCGACCGTTAACTACATTTAAATCGCAATATCGTACGGTTAAAACAAAAGTTGGTCACCTCCAAGCCAATTGCTCTGTGCAGAGGTGAGAGTTCAACGTTACAAAATATCGACCAACATAATTTATAACCTAAGCAATGTATATTAAAATATAGAATATGTTATGTAATTATGTGTGATACAGAAGTCGTTACAGATATGTCACTTTTCGTAGATTTCGGTGTGATTATGTGTTTTTAGTATTATGTATTACACAATGGCCAATTACTATATTATTATAGTATGTCTGTGTGTAATAATCATCGCGATTTATGGTTTACTTAAAATTTTAATATCACTTTTCATTGTTATTTCCAGAAAATTGGATTAGTGACATATCGTACCACAGAATTGGTCACGTAAGCACGATTTGAGTACAGGTTGCCTTGGAGTGTTAGGCCTAAGGCTCAGAGTGACATCCACTCACCACACTGTTGCCCTATCCAACGTTACAATAATAAATAAACGCGATTTAGCAAACACCATCCATAGTTGAGCTAAACTCATAAAAATATTGTGAAGCTACAATATAAGTATTTATTATTGACTTTGGAAAAGAACTGATGTAGTTAATGACGGAAACTCGTAATAGTAATATATATGAATAAATAATATTTTATGGCAGTTATGACTTAAGTTATTATAAAGACTAAACAGATATTGTAAAATAACATTAGTCGCAGAATATATTCATAAATAAAAATTGATTGTCAGTTGTTTGTCGGTTCATTATTAAAGTGATATTTAACAACTACTATAAGCTCTGGCAAAGCGACATTGAAGAGACAGAAGGTGGGTTGAAACTAACTATTTTATGTTCAAATATAACTTTTAGAAAAAAAGAAATGAGAAGACTTGTGGTTTGGTTATTTTTATGCCACATACTTTGCTCCACAAATACATAATACGCATGGTTGTGTTCATCCTCATTTGAGGAAGGTAATAATCATGTGCTACTTATTTGGTTGAACGGTGAATTGTAATTTTGGACGTTAAAAAATGAACCATTTCCATACACCTTATACTTCGTAGGTCCCCAGTATTTATTTAATTTAAATTATGATAGTATAAAAATCCTTCAGAATGTGCTCGCGTACCTATAAATGCGAACTGCGATGTTAATTATTACTCGTGTCGCGTATTGCAAAAGTACGCAAGTGTTAAATACCCGTAAGGCGTTTGCAAATATTTCGAACGCCAAATCGAAAGCAATAATATATTATAATTTATAATAATAATCCACACCGCTCCGATTTCAACTACACGTGGCGGCTGTAGCGTTTCGTATTTGGTCTGACGTTTAGTGTCTTAAATAAACAATTTTTTTAATTTTTGTCTGTTATTTGATAATTTTGGGTTTTTTTATTAGAATAAGTAACCGCCTCCGGATTTCTCGATTCGTACCGCGTATAATATCACCTCTAACATGATGATGTATACAATATAATAGGTAGTTAATAATATGTGTACATTTATTAGTAGATTATATAAATGTGTTGTTGTTCTAACACGGCTGCAGCAGTTGGTGAAAGACCGAAACTACTACTATTGCAGGACTGTAGAGTGTAGGTACTCGTTAAAATATAATATTTCCTAGTTTGCAAAACGCTCTCAACAGTCGACTAGTAAGTTAAATATATGCAAATCGATCTGCCGTTTACAATAATAACAATAATTGGCTGTAATAAATCACAGATTGTAGGTTCGACATGTCGATTCTCGGAAGTGATGGGGACACAAAAAGCCAATATGTACCATGGTTATGGTGTTTTGATATTATAGTTAATTACGGTTCTGCCGTCGCATACGATCTACATTCACTCGTTGATCGCATTCTAAGGTTATTAATGGTAATAATGATCCATATTAAGACGTTCAGGACGAGTTATTATAAATACGAATTTTCGAGCGTATCTCATAATATATTAATACGTATGTTTGTATACATTTCACTATGTATATATATGTATTATATCGCCGTGAAAAATATATAATATATATCTATAAGTTGCAACCGAACGCCGACGCAGACCTTGAAATATTCGTACCAAAAATCATCAATTGTGTCCTTCTGCTGCAGCAGTGTATATTATATTCTGTACATCGTCTATAATTCGTTAATGTACACGAAATATCAAATTGGTTTATCATTCTTATGTATACCTGTACAGCTCGCGTGTTATGTGTCCTTTCTAAAGTAAAAATTAAATACAAATCGGTCGTTCCTATCGAGTGCAATAATACAGCGTTGAGATACCGCCTCACGTCTATTGTTCTTATTATTAAACCGTGTAAAATATTTGTCATCGCGTCGCATAATATTATAATACATAATAATATTATTGTGTACGCCTTCGCGTGCATTCGTTAAAAAATATATGTTTATATGATTCGATGTCCTCAGGCCTGAAGTAAGCGAAGGGTACAAATCTTTTTTTAATGGCCATGTCGTTAAATTTTTGTCAACAAAATGTTTTTTTCTCGATCACCCGAATCGAATTTATATCATCCTTTCGTCGAAATTTGTCGGATTTATATCGTCAGCAGAACTCTTAGAAAGTGTTTATATTTATTTTAATATTCAGCGCGTGTTAAATAGTATTACGTATGAAGCATAATATTAAAATATGGGCATCGCATTCATTCGCATTCGATTGTGGTTGCATAACTTTATCAAAAACCTATAAGGCTATACTTGAATATTATAGCGTTCAATTTTGTCATTGTTGCCGCCATATTTGATAGAATATGAGGAGTTCTTAAACTTGATTTTTTTTTGTTTTGAAATCAACTCTAATCATACATTTAATAAAAACAGTGCTTGTTTTTTGAAATTGAATTGTTTTTTTAATTTGTCTATTATTTGTCTATTTACTTTTGAAAATTGTTTGAAAGTACTCGTGTTTTTAATAATATAGTATGTACCTAAAGATACGATGACAAAATAAAACCCTGTATATATGTTCTAAATGAACTTTATAAAGGTGTCAGATTCAAAAACGAAGTAAAATAGTTAATATAGGTAATTATTTTCTGATTGTATCATTTTTCGATAATTGTACAAATACGTGTATCTACCTGCAGGTATACCTACTATAAAATTGTATTATGTAAAAAATCCAATTACATTTTGACTCGGTATTTTTTTTTAATTTTATGCAAAGGCCTAGAAGTTTGGTTAGCCGCAATTTTTGAACCACTGATCAAGGATCTCCGATTAGCTTTCTCTCGGATGATATCCCATTGAATAACGTGTTAACAAAACACCATTAGGTAATATTTGCGCGCGTGCTGGCTGCCATATCAATTATTTGGCAGCGGTGACACATTACAGTATACATTATTCCGTATGTAGTACCTACTCATCTCTCGCAGAGATTAATCACCGTTACCATGTTGTAATAACTATTAAATATTATTAATACAGATGACATACCGCGACTTACCCGGTTGCGGGTATAACCGTAATGGTAATTCGGTTAACCAATCTAACCGTGTGTAAATAGCGTGACAACTATACCTGGAATCGACCTTCCTAGTTCCAAGTATTCCCTCACGGACGGACTCAGAAATCCCGGCGGTACTTTGGTTGTTTCCTCGTCATCGTCCTCGAGTCTATCTCTTTGGTCCAAACCGCCAGTATCGTCGTCTCCTCCGGCGTCTTGCGTCTCCAATGCTCTGGCGCTCTTCGATTTCTTGCCATCTTCCGAACCTCCTGTACACAACAACACGACATTAAATATATATCATCGAATCAAATTATTTGTACATATTATCGCTTTATATTATACTGGGTTATGCCACTTATGCGTATTTACATTGTGAATTCAAACCAACTCGGCGACTCGGGTCAAACGTTGAATAATAGACCCATTTGAAAGTGGCTCCGTAACGTTTTTATTTTCTACGTTTCATAATAATTCTTAGGCACGCGTTGGCGTGCGCCCGAACACGGATACGTGACCTCACGGGTCATATTTATTATTATAACCCGAATGATATACCTACTTTGCGGGCGTGTATAATAATAATATGTGGACCGTGTGTCCGCGTATTAATGAGACCACATAATATATAATAATTATGATACATATTTTATTATCCCCAAAACCACGCGTGAGTGTGTGGGTGTGGGATCATCGTATTGTGCTTGCAGCCAGTCCAAAGAAGCTGCGTATCGTATACGACGGGAAGTCAACAATGATCAACCTTCGATTCAAGTTTAATGTGATAAAAATGTGTGCAGTTAGAGAGGTAAATCGCTTTTGAGGAAACGATCGATGATATGGTAATCGATCGCTTACGACCTATGTAAAAAAATTGTTTTTATTGTTCATCAGAGTTCAAACTTTAGGCTATTGTATATTGTAGTCGCGGTGCTTATAGTTTCGACCTTAACATTATTAGGGGACTCTCGAGTTTTAGACTCCCGTTTTTCGTCACTTTCCACTGTCCGCGTGCGCCCGGTGGGCGTTTTTATTATGTTATTCTTTATTTTATCACAATCGTTATTAATAACGAAGTCGTGCTTGCCCCGAAGCTGTGTATACCGAGTGTTCCAGATACGTGACTCGGGGGCGTGGCAAAAACCTTTCGAAAAAAGCTACCTCCACCTACACCTACGAGACCTTGTACCCAAAATTTGCGGATTATATTTGAATTGACAAAAAGGTCTATTTATTTTCGTCCTTTTTATTCCTGCATTCAATCTGGGGTGCTGGATCTCCAAAGAACAGGTTTCGTTATCTCCCACCCCACTTTGGCTGGCGATATTCCAAATAATAACTTATACTGGAAACCTGTTTCTTTGTGAGTCGTTCATTCAGAAACAAACAACGCGTCTAATGGTGTACTTTAAAGTTATATTAAGTACATATAGCTCTTATTATATGACACTCTGATTTAAATTTTTCCTTTCTAAACACACTGCGCATGCCTACCATATTGTTCTTATACAGACTGATTTAACTAGAACTTGATAATTAACCTAAATGGACAAATAATTTGTACGGTTATACATATTTTTATTTGACTAAAATCATATTATATTTGTTAGTGACAAATGTTTTTTATAGTTACTATACTTACATAGTCAGATAATATATTTAATATTAATCAAATATTAAAGTGTAATTTTTTGTAAATACTTATTACTCGCTCTATTCAACAAACCATAAGAGCATCAATAACACAATATTATAGATTGCTTTAAATTAAATTAAAATTAGGTACGTGTGAATAGTATGAAATGCTCTATACTCTATAATACAAATACATTTAATTGTGGTTATATGTTTTTAATTTAATTCGTTGAATGGGTAAAACCCTGGTTTTTAATTAATAATTTGTTTAATTAACATAAGCTTGCAATTATATTTTAAATAAAAATCACTTACCAATATTTGGTATGAAGGTGGCCGAGAGCAGTGAGCACAGTACAATTATATTAAGAAAATTTGAAAAATACATGGTTTAATTGTTAAATTTAATAAATTAAGTTTTATAAAATTGTTCTAAATGAACATGTAGCGATTAAGTTTCATCGAGAAGAGAATCGTACGCATGTCTATCGAGAACATACAAGGAAGCCGGTTGACGGCTCACTCGTGCTAGGCCCATGACCGGTCATGAGACTGCTTTAACGTGGCCTCGGCAACTCGAAAGAGCAATAAGAAAAGATCCGGAAGGGGAAGTAGAGTGGAAGGGTATTGATACCCTATAAACATAATATAATACACTATATTGTATCAATATCATTATAATAACACATACATATTGATGGTAATGGTTTGTAACAAAATATTTTTTGTTACCTGCGCATATATTTAAAAAAAACCCAAATAATATGTATGGTTATATAATGCATTTACTCTTTTAACGTTTATCGTAGAAAATGTTAGCATACGAATTGTAACTATTAACTAGTTGCAGGTTGACCTAATCGAAGTATTTATTAATGTGAATTATATGACCAAATAAATAAATTAAAATGTATTCAAATAATACGGAGAATCAGTACACGTGTCTTAATCTGTATAAGATAAACGATAATACAACTAAAATGTAGTTGTTCTATTACTCCCATGGAGAGGTATTACACGTATCGTTGGACATTTAAATATGATATTGAGCTAAACAGAAAAAACAATTCAAATAAATTAAATACAAATAGTCTCAAAAAAATTCGTTTATGTCCTCTCTTGATTAAATCTTCATCTGATTCAACAGAGCACCAATAATTATAATATTTTATATTTATCTTACTCATATTTAATTTTTACTACAAATTACAATTTTTTTTATGTTTTGTCTAGGTCGCTCAGTTCCTATGTTTACTTTAGTATAACAATAATAAACTATATAAACAATGTTCAAATAGTGTCATTGATTATAAACACGATTTATGTTACCTATATATACATTATTTTTAGTTAATCATGATTATTTTTATTTTATTTTAGAAGTTCAATGAAAAGGTGCAAAAACATCGATGTTCTAATTTAAAGAAAAATAAAAAATTTGATCAGCATAAACAAAGTGTATCAATGTACGTATCTTCTGTAATTGGTGCTTTACAGTGTTTAGAACAACAGTTATTTTGTATGATCGATCAAGCTGAACAGTCTTCCACCAACTCTATGGCCCAAGTGGTTGACCAACTCAACAGTTTCATTGACGTAAGAATAATAATATAGTATTATGTTGTGTCTTGTGCATTAGGATATTATACGATCTATGTATTTCACGATACTGCAATGTTAAGAACATTTTATCCAATATGCGAAATTGTTTCATCCAAATTATGTGATTAGTAATCAATTGTATACTAATATTTAGATAAAACTGATCAATTACATCAAGATGTATCAATAGACCTATTATGAAATAATAATAATAATAACAAAAATAATATTAATTTGTTTTTCCAATAACCTGTTGATTTTTAATTTTTCTTTATTCGTTTTATTGTAATATTACGAATAATTCAAAAACTACTTTTTAGGAACTACAAGCCAAATTGAACATCTTAGGCGTGGTGTTGAAAAACAATCATTATCCGTCCGGGATGGAGGATCACATTGCCGACATTCAGCGCATGCTAGACACGACTTTTTATTTGGGGAAGAAGAACAAGACCGATGGGTCGATCATGTTCGATCAAAATATTTACTCCACCATTCAGCGTTCAGTGTTTTTTGATATTGACATATCTGACCGTTACGTAATGGGATGTTCACCTGATCTTTTGCCCGAATACATCCTGAGCGCGACGATCGGACTGAACTCGAATGACAACGGTAATTCGACGTTATCACTTTATGTCTATATATAATATATATATATATATATACATATATATATAATTAATCATGGGTAGAAATTTAGTCCAATATTAGGAGCACGCGCTCATCTATAAGAGACAACCTATACATTGATGTTGTAAAAATGTATGTGCTCTCCGTTTTCCGAAAGATAACTTTTTTAATTTAAATTTTGATCTTTCAAAAGCCTACGACAGCGAGTGAAATTGGAAGCAACGTTACCAAGTTTTTATCATAAATAATATAAATATATTTTAAACGCCCAATGGTAAACTTTAAAATTAATTAAATGTCTTGGTCCACTTCGCTTATTTCAATTTAATTGCTAATTACCTATACCTAGATAGTATATCCTTAGATTGATGATGTTTTATTTTATTCGCTTAACAATTTACTACATAAAGGCTAAAGTTCCTTGACCCCCTGGATCTGCGCCAGTTGTACACATAATGCTATAGGATTTTGCAATAAAGATAATTCTGAAAAAATATAAACATATGATCTAAATTATAATTAATAATACCTATCTTAGTGATAAGAAGTTTGTTTGATATCGCAATAAAAATACAAATAATAAATAATTTACTATCAAGGTGTATTTATCAACAAAAAAAGAAACCTGATAAATATACCTTGCCAACTATACTAGCGTAGGGTCAAGCCGTGTGAATGTCGTGTATATTTGGTACGTTGTATGGAGGTAAAAACGATGCGTATCGCCCGTGCAATCGTAGTCTATAAGAGGGAGGTACCACCGATAAAGGAAATAAGACCGTATGCAATCGTATTTTGCCAGAGACAACAACATGGGACTACCTACAAAATACTTTTGATTGGTATTTTTAAACGCATTTTAATTCTCGTAAAAAAATATCCAATACTAATCCTTCCGAAAAACGTTAGTCAAACGTCCTCTTAGTTACTCGTTAATAGTGCATAAATGCATAATATTTAAATATCAATCATAATATTTCAGGTAGTCCCAAAATCACGTAGGTATACATTTGACCGATACATTCCGTCTTGTGGTGTGTTACAGCGCTGTCCGAAACACGGCCGTCGTCTGTCTCGAGCATGTTGTCGTCAACGATGTCCAGCAGCAGCAATTATTCGGCCGTTTCCGGTGAGGCCGCCGCCACTTTTTTTGGTGACGTCTCTGCCTCTTCTAGTTATGTCGTTGTCTCTTCTGGTGACGTCGCCGCTGGTTCCTGTAACGATAAGGCTTCCGGTGATATCGACGCCGCTTCCGCAGTTGTCGGACCACCGCAATCGCAGGTCGTCAAGGAGATTGTGAAAAACGAAATCGAGGTCGTAGTCGTGTCGCACATCAACAGCCCGTCCGACTTTTATGTGCAGCTTCACTCCAATTTGGCCGTGTTCAATATGGTCAACAGAGAACTCGATAGACACGTGAAATCAGAACCCGGGGCTGTACCTGTGGGTCACGTGGAAATGGGTGAGTTGGCACTCGGCGAATCACTGTAATGACATGCATGAGTCGGTGGCTCGTGAACGTTTTTTGAAAAAAGTCTAAAATATTTCTAACTATAGAAATTTTTTTAAGGGCAGTTATGAACGTTTGGGGGGGAATGTGTTGACAAGATATTTAGAAACAGTATTGTAGCTGTATGCTAGGCGTAGAGGTGGGATACAAATGAGGGGTAAATGAAAGGAAATTAACGACAAATTATTTAAAATAAAAACTTATAGTTATACTATAAATTACACATACCATTGTTTGAAGTCATTAAATTATCATTATTATGCTGAGTTATTCGGTAATGTTTTCATTTTGCCTCAGACTTTTTTCCTAATATCCAAACAAACGTCTGTAAAAATAGCTGTCTATATTTTTTGAAATTTTTGTAGGTAGTTAGTTGTTGACTAGAGCCGTTTTAAGATTTAACTAAAATTTACGCAATTACAATATATTTGTGTAATTTTACAGTCACAAAACAACTGAATCAAATACAAACTAGTCCTTTATACTTTTATTTTTTGTTTTGTTACTTGTTTTTGCTATCTGAAACAGGTGGTTAACACTTTCGCGGTCATAATTTTTTTTATAAAAATCAAGTGTTTTTATAGTACTTATTATTGTAAGAAAAGAATAAATCTTGAAATAACAAATTTTCCAATTATTTTTGATTTTGTCAAGAAGTATTATTGAATTTTATATTGTTGAAGCCCAAAAAACAACATAAATATGTTTTTTTTTTTAATTATCCCCTAAATTTACCAGTTGAAAGTAAACACAGACATACCAGGTAAATTTAAATCGGCATTAGAATTATTTACTTAATAATCAAACATTCTCACTACAAGCAAATTATATTCACCATCCCTTATTTTGAAGTGTACTTTGCTAATATATTATGCAATCATATACGACTATTTTTTAACAATGCACTGGGTGTAATTTCCAGATATCACTATGATGTACGCCGTACAAACTTCAACTAATGAGTGGCGCCGAGGTATTGTACTCAACACCTTCAAGGAAGACAAAACAGACTTGTTCAGAGTACACTTAATCGATTACGGTTTTTTGGAGACTTTAACAGCCGACAGGTAATCGTCACTTCTTATTATGAATTATTGGTTCAATTGTCATGGTTTTATTTATTGATTGATAATACTATACGTCTATACATTTATTTACAAGGAGTCTTGTGCAAAAATGTTGTGTCAAATTTTTAGTCTAAAAGAGATTTTTTCTAACGTTTATGAGGTGAGTTAGTCTTCTCATCTTCATCTTCTAGTTTTGGCTAATTCCAAAACTATTCCAATCCAAGATGTACCTGAGTACTAAAAAAGGAAAACTTTTTCTATTTATAACAATTGTTGATCAACAAACTGTAAAATATTATAACAACATTATTTATGTTATTTGAATATGATTAACTTGACAAGTAATGCTTCTTTACTTCAGTTGCAATAATTAGATACTCCTTTATACAACAATTGTATTGTTTTTGATTTCGTCTAAATTACAATAAAACTCACATCCACATATTACTAGACCCATCTTTAAATTGTGAAAATGAAAAATAATAGTATACAGTAGTTGTGAATAATATCAAGATCAGAAAAAGTCTGCCAATGCCAAGTTTTCGTAAATAAAATATATATCACATTATATAATTTGTAGTGTGTATTGTGTATTTATATTATTTGACTTTGCAGAATTATAAGTGCGCCAGTAAGTATTGTCTCAATACCACCATTAGCCTATAATTGTGCCATGTACGATTTGAAGCCAAAATATACAACTGGATGGTCAAATAAAGCTTACATATTATTCAATGATTTGATGTTAGCAAAGACAGGTTCATATTTTATGTACCCTTTGGAAATAAGTAGTGAACGTATTGAGGTTGATGTAGTTTGGCATGGAGACTATTATCCACTGTCTATACGCGATGCTATGTTTTTTTTGGGATATGGTTCTTATGAGTATTATGTAAACAAACAATTGGTGAGTATCTGCATTTCTTAATTTTTCTTTTTATACATTTTAAACTCATATTATTTTTTAGCATAAACAACTTGTAGATATGTTAACATTATCTGACAATTTAAAGCTGGAAGAAGAAAAAAGATATTCTGTAATCTTATGTCACTTCATTTCACCAACAGAGTTTTATATACGATTAGTAAATATACAATATACATTCATTCATGTATAAAACAAATATTTTAAACATTTACAATTTTTTACAATTTTATAGAATGATGATACTTCTCAATTAGAAGAAGTTATGGATACACTGAAAGCAATATATATACCTACTGCAGAAAATTCACATAAAAACTATTTATTATATACGCCACAAATTGGTACCTAAATATTTTTACTTTGGTTCTGACAAAACATATCATGCTATTACTATACATCTAATATTTCTTTTCTTTTTAGGCATGGCTGTTGCAGCTAGATATTCTATTGATGGTCATTGGCATCGTGCAAAGATAATAAGTTTGCCTGAAGAGCGCTTGGTTACTGTTTTTTACATAGATTTTGGCAATTCAGAAACATTGCCATGGGATGAATTGAGAGTTCTTGATAAAAGCCTCATTAAGACACCTCCACTTGTAAGTTTAATTTTACAATGATATAACTGTTAATTGTTTAGGAAAATATTTTAAAATCAAAAAATGATTTGACAAATTAATAAAAATGTAATATAAAATAATATATTATACAGTGTGGTGACGCTAAGAGGTACCACTAAATATTGTATTGAAATGGGGTTTTCACTGGTTTTTTGTACTTAAATACACATTTATTTATGATTTTCAAATTTTTAACACTTTTGGTGTGCGCATTCGCAATACAACTTACATTTTTTTAAATATTTATGTATTAAAAGTTTTTTTCTATTTACAAAACTGACAAAGTTATAGAAGTCGACATTTGAGTTTTTGCATAATTTTAAACGAAATGTTCACTTATGACTACTGGAAATAAAAAAAAACAGTGCCAAATTAATACTTAATTTACCTTATCTGTTTATAAATAATAATTTAATAATATCCGTACGTCGTCCTGATGAATATCCCCACTCCCCAGTACCTGTGTGATATTATTTTTGTTTAGTAAATTGCTACGATTACAATCTTAACTATTTTTATAGTGGAATTTTATTTTATTTTTCAATAGTTCTAATAACGATAAGATAATCAGATAATGTTACTATTAAGATATTTTGTTTTAAGGAAAAGATCATTTTGGTTTTATTATTTAACTAGACCCATACCAAAGTTTATGTGATATTCGTGTAATATCTGAGTATTAAGTGTTTTTATAATTTTATTATTGTTTAAATATGAGTAACGCTGAAAAAGTAGAGTTGTTGTTAGTTTATGGCGAATGCCAACGTAATGTACGTCTAGCTGCTAGGACGTATTCCGAACGATTCCCAGAAAGATACCATCCATCTCATAATTATATCTTACAGCTTTTACAAGGGTTAAATCAAGCAGGGAGATTTCTTGGCAGAAATCAACCAACAAAGGTGTAGAGCAGTATTTGATGAAGATACAGAATTACAGGTACTAGCATACATACGAGCTAATCCACGTTCATCAGTTAGGCATATTACTCGCGAAATTGGAGTTTCATATGGTTATGTTCAAAAAATTCTAAAAAAAAAACACAAAATGCATCCATATAAATATGATTTTGTCCAACATTTGCTTGCAGGAGATTCTACTCGTAGATTAGAATTTATAGCTTGGTTTAATATTCAGTTTCATTATAACCCTTTAATTGTCAATCGTATTCTTTGGAGTGATGAATCAAAATTTACTAACAATGGTATAATGAATAAACAAAATCATCGATACTAGGATGACACTAACCCACACTGGTCACGTGAAACTAATTTTCTAACAGTTTGGGGTATTAATGTATGGTGTGGGTTAATTGGTGGGAAGCTTATAGGTAGGACCGTACTTTTATGATGGCACGCTTAATGGCAGACGATATTTAAATTTTTTAACCAACGAACTACCAAGACTATTTTATGAGGTTCCATTAGATACGCGAGAACATATGTTTTTTCATCAAGATGGAGCACCAGCACATAATGCAATTATAGTTAGACAAAAATTAAATCAAATATTTCCGAACCGCTGGATTGGTACTTATGTCGTGGTTCCTTGGCCGGCACGGTCCCCAGATTTAACACCATTAGATTTTTTTTTTATGTGGACAATTGAAGAAAGTGGTTTACAAAGATGCACCAGTCAACGTTCAAGACTTAAAAAACAAAATACAGGCAGCAGGTCAAATTTTAAGTGAAGAACAAACCAACGCGTCAACTTCGACTGAATTTTTGAGAGACGACTCGAATCATGTTTAGAACATAATGGTGGACATTTTGAACAGTTCATAGGATAAATTTATTTTGTAATAAAATTAATATAACTATTACAAGCAGTTTATAACTATTTTGTTATAGGTATATTTAATGTATTAATACAGTTACGAGAATAAAAAATATTGTTAAAAATAATATTTAATTACTTCAACTTTATTATTTCTTAATTATTATTATTATTATTATTATTATTATTTATCTGATAATCTTATCGTTATTCGAACTATTGAAAAAATAAAATAAAATTCCACTACAAAAAAAAGTTAAGACTGTAATCGTATTATAGCAGTTTACTAAACAAAAATTATGTCACACAGGTACTCGGGATATCCATCAGGGCGACGTACGATATTATTAAATTATTATTTATAAGCAGATAAGGTAAATTAAGTATTAATTTGGCACTGTTTTTTTTTATTTCCAGTAGTTATAAGTGAACATTTCGTTTAAAATTATGCCAATTGTACAAATTGAACAAATTATGCAAAAACTCAAATGTCGACTTCTATTACTTTGTCAGTTTTGTAAATAGAAAAAAACTTAGCGTGATTACACTGTATAATATTATAACGTAGCAAATGTAATTTGGGACTTAATATCATTTTTAACTATTTTAACTAACTTAATATGGAATAGGGGCTATATTTTATTGGAAAATAGAATAATTTCTGGAACCTGTTTTTAGTTGGAAATTATTCTGATGAAACCGTGTATACTTGGAAAATATATAGTCGCAATATTATTTTGTCGGGACCGTATTTATTTGAAAGTATATATTCTTTCGGAACAGTATATGAGACATAAGTACTATGATAAATATGATATACATTTCCATCAAAATATTTTGCATGAAAATCCGTTTCCGTAAAAATACATTTCCGATCAAATTATATTTGACGGTTTTTATGTAAAGGGACATAGGTAAATCAAATATTGAAAAAAAAATTAAACGTGCATTTTATGTTAAATTTCAAGGCCGATCGAATGGTGTCTTTATCGTTGACGCTTTGGGCTTGTTATCATAGTATTAAAAATGCAAAAAGGCATAAGTCAAAACATTAGAAAACTCACGCTCAATATAGATACAACTTTCACTTAAAATCTTTTTTTTTATGATTTTTTAATAACCTCAGAGTAGTATTACCTATTACAAAAATTGTTGAGTGTATGGCTTAACGGTTTTAAAGTTTATTTTTATTTGACCTAGTATTCGACTTTCAAAATAAATAAACATTTGTAAATTGAAATGATGTTAAAATTGTTTTGACTTTTTGAGACAATATTTTGACAAATCGTTGTATCATTCCTTCAAAAACATAAAAAAATGATTGCGTAAATACGTTTTGTCTATGTAGCGCATGGGCCAAAGTAAGAAAACAAACAGCGAGCTAATATCCTCTTAATATATTAATATTATTTTAATTTTATACCTGCCCATTACTACAGCTTACAAGTTCTATACCTTCTGGCATACCAAACAACGTATGAAATTATAAATGAAACATTTTTTTTTTTATACGGTATATATACAATCAAATTTACAAAATGTATACATGAAAGCTTGATGGGAGGAGTTACCCAGTGGTAACACTAACCCTTACTTGATGATTTTTTTTTAATGTATATTGCTATACTTTACATTACTCGTTGAGCAGACCTCGACACCATTTCCTTCTGAGCCTCCCGGGAGGATTCTCAGGAATTATGAAAGTGGCAAGGTTTGATATGAGGGGGTTGGTATGAGAAGGGAGTTTTGAGTGTTTGTAAAAAGTTACTGCTTCTTAAGTTCTTCTTAACTGTTTTAATTTTTAAATTGGTGTGCAGTTAGATTTGAGATATAAGGAGGAGGATTTGTGATTTTACGATTTATGTTATTTTGGAAGGTTTGAATTTTGTTAGTATTAGATTTTTTGGCATTGCCCCAGAGCTGAAGACCATAGGTCCACATAAGCTTAAACAAGGATTTTTAAGTTAAGAGTTTAGTAATTAATGGAGTGTGTTTGTTTTTGAAAATTAGAGTTTTGTGAATTTGGAAGTCGTGCATTTAAGGCAAGCCTTTTAATTTTAATGTGATGTGATCACGTGAGTCGACGGTCAATTGTCCGACCCCTACGGATTTAGCCGATTGAGAGGAAGGGATTTGAATATTGTATTGAGGAATGAGCTGTACCAAAACCAAATTGAGTATTGGGTAATATTGAGCTGGAAGAAATGTATGGAAGAATTCTTTTAAGAATTAATCTTTCAAAAAAGTTTCTGAAGAAGGGGAGGAGACTGATTAGTAGGTAGGAGGAGGATATCTCAGGAAGCTTTTAGGTTTTGGTACTAGAATTGTTATAAATGAAACATAAATAAAAATAGAACAAATTAAATTTAACTGAATAATTTTAAGTTAAGTCTACTAAAAAACTAACAAACATTGACTTATGTCCCTTTACAAAAAAAACTGTCCATATATTTCTAAAAAATGAATTTCTGACAAATGTGTTTCCAAAAAATACATTTTTGACAAAATGAGTTTCCGACCAAATAATTTTCATATATAATAGATTTCTATCAAAATATTTGAATATTATCCAGTAAAATACATTTCCAACAAAATACGATTTATCCCGATAAAATATTTTTCCAGACAAATACAATACCATTTCCTAGCATATATTTTCCAACTTTATGTGCTCCCCTTATGGAATAAATCAAAAGATAATGAATATTTATCGACTATTTTTATTTGCCGAATTTTGATGTATTGATAAACATTAACTGATAAGCATTATCATTGATAACGTTTTCAGTTGAATACACTTACAGATTTCTATATACTCAGTATGTAGTATTATAATATATAGACATCTTTATAAATGCTATATAGGTAGGTTCCTATACTCTGTCCTGCGAAAGAACACGCTGATTCTACTCATCACCGTGCTTTTGAAACCAGTTGAGGGGAGGAACATGTAGAAAAACCGATTGTGGTCGACCCGCTGCACGTTCTCTCGCTGTACAGGTTATAGTATAACTGAACTACTAATGGGCATTATCAAATGATAAGTAAGCGAGAGAACTCAAGAAAAATCAATTGTTTTACGTTTTTACTTTATTTCTTTTGGTAAAAAAAAATTATTATTACTGACCGAGAGACTCAAAATTATATCTTTAAACTTTAAAATTGTTTATTCAACAACTATATTCACTAATTATGATTAATTTGTGAGTAATCAAATCATTCAATCAGAATTAAAGTAAACATGATAAGTTAATATTATGTACTGAGACTAATGTAGTAATGTATAATGTATATACTATTGTTATTTATTCAAATTTAAAATAAGCTAATTAAATTATGAAATTAGTAATAATATTTATCAATTGGCAGGCTCAACACTCAAAAATACAAAACATTTTGAGATTGAGAGAAAAATTTGTTTATTTTACTCGTAACTGAATATTTTTTTATTATGTCCATCACTAAACTTAACCACAGAATAGATGAAATAATAACAAATTGTTTATATTTTACAATTTTTATTATTTTTTTATATTTAATACTTAGTAAATTTGGGCCACCTACTTAAATTGTTATAGCTCTCCGTGCATAAAACACACAATTGTTGTAAGTTATTATTCCAATTGACTCTCCATATATTTTCCAATATCTATTTCATGTCTGCAAAATGGCCCTGAAGTAAGTTCATGAGCCCAAAAGTATAATATACAAAATTGAATTCCTATAAAAATTAGAATTGACATTTCCAAATGTCCATTCCAAGATAAAATTAAAACAAAAGATATAATAGTAGGCCAAAGTTTTAACAATATAATAATTGCATCTATGAAAATATATGTTTATTGTGTATTTATATTGAGTGTGAATGAATTAGGTAATTTTTCCTACTTGGTAAAAATACTATGTTATTTTATATTTATTTGAATTCATACAATTTTAAATTAAAAAAATTACAAACTGCCAACACTCAATGTTTTTTTAATTGCAATCAAATGTATACTTGTATTTTACAATTTGTTTTAATACCTTATTATATAATATTTATAATTTTACTATAGGTAATAAAAGCATCATTAGCTGATGTTAGTCCTGCTGTAAATGGCATAGAAAGTACCAAGTGGAGTGATATTGCTTGTGCTGCATTTTTAAATTTTTCAAAGATTGATTACACTGATGATAACTTGATCGCTTTCATACACAAAGTTGTTGGTGATACACACAAAATTGTTTTATACAATCATTCATCAAGAGCTGAGTTTTGCTTGAACAGTAAACTTGTATCTCAAGGATATGCTACAACAATGGATCCTGGAGCATGTGTATTCAAGAAAACAAACACAAGAAAACTAGTGAAGAAGCTAGTGTTACAAAACTCTAGAAATGTAAGTGTAATTTCTTAATAAAAATTGATTTTAATAAATTATTTTCATATTTCTTAGTATTCTTTTTTAAGAGAACATTTTACTGTTTAAATTTTGTTGCTCGTTCTTCCATCAATCATATTCTGCTTGGGTCTCAACATTCTTTCTACGTGTTTTATCGATTTATATTATGCGAGCGGTGTGTAGTTTTACATTGGCGCACATGTCAGCTATATTTGAAAATAGTGACTGTATGGAGGGGATTTCACGTCTCTGTCTGCAAAACTAGCCTGTTCTGTCATGAAAAACCAATCTATATATAACTATTAATAAAATATAATATCCTACAGAAAGAATTAATGTTACCAAACGATGACACTTTATCGTTTATTAAGCAGCGATCAGTTACTGCAAATGAAAATCATGAATGGAAAAATAAGAAAAAGGTATGCCCCGGTGTACCAATGTCAATTATTAAAGTTGTCAGTCCTGATGAAATAATTTTAAAAAAAATGAACCATAACACTGAGAAGTAAGTATACAAGTGATAAAACTGTATATTGCGGAATTAATTTATATTTGAATTTATTATAGTTAATATTATTATTACTACTAATATTTTGATGTACTATAGTAGTTTTTTTATGTTTGGTTCTCTATTTTTTTTTACATATAACACAGTTCAATTGCAATGGTATTTTAGTGCCGTACCATTTTTGGAGGACACCATACTTGTTAATTTGAATATTAAAGTAAATTGACCTTTGATTAACTTAAAAATAGGAATATTATCCGAGTTTTCTTGTTTGTTTTTTTACAATTTTTTAACTTTTAACAGAGCTATGAGCATATAAAACATTCAAATATTAAAATGCTCATAATTTGCTTGAAAATTACAATATTATGAAAAACCAATACAGATTAATATTCTTGCCTTTAAATTTTGTAATAGGTCGATTCACTCTTATATTAAAACTAACAACACAAAATAAAATTCAAATTTCCAGAATTTGAAAAAAACCAACATTTAAAATAATAGTATTCTCTCAATTTGATTTGCCACTCAAATTTTACATTTTTTACATTTGTAAGACAAAGAACATATGCAGTCATCCTTTTAAAGAATAATTGTTTGTACATTATTTTAATCTATTTAACCTAACATATTACATAATACTGGTAGTGGTTTAACATGTGCATTTATGCAGTTATATCGCATTTGAAAAAGTTAAGTTGCCTTTTAAACATATTTTTATCTGCTTTCAGACTGACTGAAAAAATGAACAAAGTTTATGACGATAAAAAAATAAATAAAAAAAAAATAGGTTGGAAAATAAATGATTTATGTGCCGTATTTATTAAAAAGTATGGAAATTGGTATAGAGGAAAAATTATAAACATAGATGTAACAAAACAAATGGTTACAAACGTTACAGTAAGTTTAAATTTATTTTTACATTGTTAAAAGCAGAATTACATTTAAAAAATTAACTGCAACAATTAATGCATGTCAAATATTCATAAAAAGACCTAACAAATGTAATTAACACTATTTGCAAATTTTTAACTTAATTGGAAGAACCATGTTTACTCATTGTGCAACCTATGTAATAGACTATTTATATTAAGTTTCAAGCTAAAAAAAAATAATGTTAAAATGTTAGCAAGTTGTTTTATATTTACGTGAGGCCACAAACCTAACCCTAATGACTTATATCAGGGATGGCAAATCCATGGCACGCAAAAAAAATTTGTGGGCACACGAAAATTTAGAAATCGACAACGCCGCGGGAACTGCTTTCACATAGCTTCCGCAAATATTATAGGACCTATAATAATCTATAAACTAACCTTTTTATACTAATACATTAATTATACAATCAAATTATAATATTTTAAATATTTTTTTCATGGCACGCTCTAAAAAAAAAAGGTTATTACTAATTTTGGGCACGCAGTGTTTCAAAAGGTTTGCCATCCTTGACTTAAATAAAGCAAAAAAAAAACCTTAGAAATATTTATTGTTAACCATTAAAATTATTTATTATTATAAATAACCAATTGTTATTTATAACCAATCTTATAACTAAAATGTTTTGATTTAATTAAAATTCCAAAGAAATGAAAGGTATTAAATAATTTTTTTTCCAGGTTTACTTTTATGACATAAATGAAACAATTGACCAGATACCTATCAAAACTTTACATATACTCGAAGATCAATGTGCTCAAGTAAAATGTGGAATTCTGCATTGTGGTTTGAACAATTTAGTTCCATTAGGTGCTCCAGATGGAGTATGGCCTAAATTTAGTTGTGATCGTCTAATTGAAGAATTAAAAAAATATCCTACAGTATATTTCTCATGTGAAGTAAATCCTCAAGTTGATATTGGTTATTAATTATATATTAATATTGTAATTATTTTTTACTTATAGGAGAAGAAAAATGATATTTCATTAGGAGAAATATGGGTCAGAATCATAGAAACACCACAAGCCTTAGAACCATTACGTGAACATTGGACAAATATGAATAGATTTATGATAGAACAAGGTTTTGCTTTAAGTAATAAACAGTAAGTTATTCACACATCAACTAAACTTCAAAGTAATTAGTTATAATATTAAGCATTAAAATTATGAGAAATTATAAAAAGTGTATTATGATTCAATTAATACATTTTTAAATTGTATCAAACTAACAATGCTTGCGATCAATATTTCACGAGTTCAAACTTAAAATTTTTGCCAACTTCCTAATTTGTTTAACTATTTCTTGTTTCCAAAGTGGGTACTTCCCATTTAGTGGATATTACAATGGTCAAATGTTTTTTTCTATGATAAAAAAAATTATTTTTAGTATTTTTTTTAAGAAGACAACTATTATTTGTTGTTTGCTTCTTACAAGTGTGTAACATATCAAAATTATGCTCAGCAAATCACGTATAGCTTAGTTAGATGAAAAATTAGAATGAATTCAACCTTATGTGAAACTTGATGATAAGAACATTATCTGTGTGTGTTAGTTTTTTACAATAATTCAGTTTTTAAGTGAGTTCTGAGCTAGCATTTTTTTTATGTACACTATTATGTACGCGAAACTTGTTTAAAAATTGTATTACTACACATATGTAAAACGTAGGTAACAAATACCAGTGTTACTTCTTCTTAAGTATTCTATGTATATAATTTTAATTCTATATTTTCTTTATTTTTTCAGAGTTAAAAGGGTAAGTAAGTATATAGCAAAAATACATGTTAAAAAAACAAACTAATGGTTTTACCATCTTTGTTTTAATCATAAAAAATACTTTAGACTTTAATATATTATAACTTAACACAATTCATATTGATTAAACGTTAAGTTTTTTTTATAATGATACCATACGTTTTATAATTGTTAAGTTAAGCGTTCATATTTGTATCTAAAAAAATCTATATTTTTTCTTAATTTAATTTATGTTATATCATGTAAATTACTATATTCACATAAAAAAGTATTCTATGATTTGTTTATAAAATTGCGTATTTTGTTAAAACTTAATTCCTTATCTCAAATAAAAACAAAAACAAAAATGTATTGTAATTCAAGGTGATCAATTGGTGAGACGGCACAATACTCTTATTATTGTTTCTATCTTACAAATTTAAACTTAATACATGTTTGTTTCATGTTTTCAATACAGTTTTGAGTAAATTTAAATATAATGGTATTATCATGGATTTTTTTTAATTTGACATTAATTTAACAGCTAGTAATAATAGAAAATACAATTTAACAATTTATTTTAAAAAGTATTTGTTTAATCACATTTAATTTCAACAAAACTATTAGAAATAATATGAAACAAAATTATTATGTTATGCATATGCAAAATAGAGTCAATGCTGCTTGAGGTCCTTTACATTGCTTCCTCTTTACTAAAGATTTAAGTTATACAATGAGAAATTGAATTACTTTTATGTATTTTATTCTTACCACATTATGAATATTTTGTTAAATTTTTTGCTCAACACTAAAACTGATCACTTAACTACAATAATATGGTTATTGCGTGCAACTTTAAAAACAATATTATAAATTCTTATACATTATATAAGTATTTCCTTATATTTTAATGTTTTACTCCTATACTACTTCTATTCAACTCACGCCGATACTAGTTGTATCTCTTATGTATCTTATACTTTTGTGGAGAACTTGCCATCAAAATGTTTTCCAACAGGATGGTGAATATTCAACTTCTCAATCAGAATCAGAATTCAATTACTCTAATGTATCTAAAGAAAATGATCAATTTGTTAACTCTTGGATGCCTCCTGCTCGTTTGGTTGAATCTAAATTTAATGTAATCGTTACAAATGTTGATATGAAATGCAATATCTACTTTCAGATTTTGGATGAAGGTATGCAAAAAAAGAACAATTGAAATAGTTTTTATTTTAATTTTGTAATAATATAAATATTAATAATTATTATTATTCCAGAAACTTCTCAATCATTGCAGCTTGTTACAGATGAATTGAATGACATATTTTCTAATAGCCAACCTGAACCAATAAATATGAAATGGAGTGAAGAACAGTCGGTTATAGTTAAATACCATCTAGATAATAAGTGGTACCGAGGAACAATCTTAAAAGTTTGTTTCTTTTTTTTTAATTATATTTATTATAGCCAACTTAAGTTTATTTTTTAGAAAAACTATATTATGAATTACTGACTGATAATAATATTTTAAAACTATGTTTGCCATCTAATTAGCTCATATCCATCCTTTGTTGGTCAACCTTTAAAAGATTAAAATCATTAGCAATTATAATTAATTTTAATTTAAAACTGCATAATAGTATCTAAGTGATAAAATGAAACAGTTATAATTCCATGTACTATTTCCAAGTTTACCTAGTTTTTGAGTTTTGAAATATGAATGTAAACTTAATTTAAATAATCAATTTGTTTTTGAAATCTTAACCAGCTTTTATCTTAATGTTACAATATTAGTATGTGGCTTGGTGTGGGGCGTTGGCTGCTACCAGTCGCAGAATGCGACTGGAAGTAAGTAACGGCCACAGGCCATAGCCACTAGCTCCCGAATGGGTGACCACCTGGGTTCATAGTAGTTAAAAACCTAGCCACACTTACACGTGTTTGCTACCTACCGTAACAATCTTAAAACAACCTACCGTACCAACCTTACCCTTAGCGCTGTTCATAACCCCTACAACAGCTAATGGCCTTAGTCGTCGGGCAGAAGTTCAATAAAAAAATTTTTAAAAAAAAATATTAGTATATCTATTTCTACTTTGTAGCAATAATATTGTATAAGAAAGACTGAATATTAATTAAAATGTACTATTCGTAACGCTCAAATTTAGACTAAAGTCTTGACTTCTTGATTCTAAGTAGATTAGGTCTTCAACTATTGGCTCATAATTACATTGAAAAAGTTATGGTAAGAAAAATGGAAGTCATGTGGAAAAAAATTAAACGTTTTTTCCATTTATCTTCGCATTGAAAAAAGGTTGTGTAGTGTGAACGTACCTAAGTAACAAATTATAAATATATAATAATATGCATATTCGGCCCACCTCTTATACGTACCTGTTTCAAGTGTTACTTATGTAGTTACCTATGTATATGTTACCGTCAAAGTCGTTAATTAAGGAATTAAACGTTAATAACTATAGTCGGTAGTCACTAACGATATTTGCGATCAAAATTATACTGTCCAGGTACTCTATTCACTAGAAAATAATGCCTATTATTTTCAGACAATCATGCATGTTGAAATACATATAGCGATAATTTTTTTAAAAATGCTCAACATTGTCTACCAGTTGTGGAAATGAATGTAATTTCCCATATTTCATAGTTGATTCTTACAACATTTCATGTATTGTCTGTAATTCTTATTGGCATTTACGTTATTTCATAAAATCTAACTTACCTACATCAGAGACAGTAACATTATAATTTATATCATATGGGACGTGACCACCCCCCGCAATGACACACCGGTTAACACTTTATGATATCTATACATACGGTTAACGACGGCATTGTAAATTATTGTTCAAATCGATGTTTCAGATAAGTGACAACGAAGAATTTACTGTACAGTTTTACGATTATGGCAACATCGAGACGTGAAAGCACGAAGATCTCCGGTCGACCTTGTACATGACTGAAGTGCCCCAACTGTGTCACAAGGGATTCTTCAGCTCCATTTTACCGGTACTAGGACGATTCGTCAGCGTAGAACTTCCTGTCTATACAATCGTTTTATACTAATTATTATTCGATTGATTTAGATTACGAAAAACGGGAAATGGCCGATACCCACACTCGACATGATACACAGCTTGGTCGTCGAAAGAACATGTATGGTGACGGTCGATGCGAGCCTGTCGACCGCCAACCACTGTGCGGTGAGTAGTGTGTTTTTACTGTGCGTCTTGATGTATTTATTATTTTTTTTAATCCCGACAATATAGGAATAGTAGGTGGTAACTAAATTCAATACGAGCTATGATAAAACGAACTTTCCCTTTTTCGGATTTTTAAGCGATACGTTTTGATTAGGAATACTAGAGATAATTCTTCTATAGTCAAGAAGAACCGGTTGATGATGAGATAGAAGCAATATTATAGTGCCCGCGTGCGTAATTATTCACATAATGGGTGCATATTACATAATACTATGCTTAGATCTTACGGACTGTACAGAGTGTTGCAAGTGGGTGGGGGTACCGCTGTGCTGTACTCTAGCTAGGTAGGTACTTTGTGGGCTACTAATGGAATGTGTTAAATTTGAATTTGTATGATATGTATAAATCATTGTAGGTATACGGAAAACGATTCTGTTGGAAGCCTAAGTATATTTCATGATATTATTACTATTTTACTAATTCATTGTACACTTATTAAATATTATTAGATATAGTGGGTTGAATTTATTTATTTTTTGATAGAATTGCATTTGAAAATACCATTGTGTGTTTAAAATTTAATAATACACTTTATAAGTTTCAATTATCCACGGATAATATTTTTAAATAACAACACAATAATTAAAATCGTTATGTATTGTTAACATATAACTAATGTCGTCCTCAGTTTATATTAAAATGTCTCTAAGAGATAACTGTGTTTATATATTTTTAAACTCTTTGGTTACAATATAAACTAACTACTCATAGGAAATCCTGTTGAAAGTTGTTCAATTTTTAGCTATACAAATTGAACATACAATCTTAAACTACAAAATAATTTGCAAATTTTCGTGGTTTTGATGAAGTTTGTCAATATTTTTACTTTAAATGCTAATAAAAGAAACGTACCTAAGTATCTACAATTTTATTGAACACCATTACATTTTCAAAATATTTTGACTCATATTGAACTATTTATCGGTTTATGAAATTTTCAATTACTATAAATTTTTTCAAACGTATATCGATTAAAAAAATGTCGCTTAGTCAAAAAACTTGGAAATGTTTTACAAGGTTCTTCTTAAGTTGTTATTAGTGAAGATTAAAAAAAAATTAAGCGTTAGAATTTAGAATTTTAATAAAATTCTTAAAAATCACGAAAATATGCGAATTATTTTGAGTTCGAAATGTATTAAAAAATTTATTTTTATACCTAAGATTTTAAAATTGAATACAACATTTCTTATAAGTTTGTCTATCTTTATCAAAAAAAAAATTTATTTATTTAAAGTCAAATTAAATTTTTTTGAGTGTTGAAGTTGAAATGTTTACAAAATTGGTTTCTTCGCTCGATTTCTTATGTACCGATTTTCTTATTTTGTTGTAATTAAAAAACAAATAACTGTAGATTCTTGAAATTAGCACCATATATGTTTGTTTTATCAATGCATGTGTCTGATAAAATAATCCAAGCTACTTTCGGGGGCCACACCGGCCATTTTAAAGTGGTACTTGCATAATTATTTTTGAGATTAAAGATGGCCGACGAAATTTTTAAGTTTTAAACACCATTAAACCGAATATTAGAATATTAAATAACGAATTGGACAAAGTTTGAATCATATAGAATTTTAGTTTTTAAGTGGAACGAAGTGCACGGGGTCAGCTAGTATACTATAAAAAGTGAATATTATTCTATTGCAGTGATCCATTTTAAGTTATAAACACATAAAAACAACTATAATAGTACAATACAAAATAAAACTGATAGACAGAATTACAGTAAAGGTAATATTAACAACGATTTATTTTGTAATGTTTAATAATTAATTTAAAATAAGCTTTTTCTTAATTCGCTTATTATATTATTTTTAATCAATCGCCAGTAACCGAATGAATCAATACATAGTAAATATTATATATAGTAAAATTCGATCAAACCGACAGAAACCTCGCTACCAAAAAAGATGCCATCGATGAGATATCCCGTCCTCCAAAACGTACCCTTAATAATACCAATAATAGTGTGCACTCTTTACTTGTAGATCAAGACCATGAAAGAAATCGACCATAATTTGGACGTGCTTCAATATCTGGTAACGGAGAAAAAGGCTTACTTCGAGTACGTATCGCCGTCGATCCTTAATCTGGTGGACACGGATGAGATAAATAATGATGACGCAGACGACGACAGTAATTGTTACGCGGCTGACGACAACGGTTACGATGACTGTACGACCTACGTCGATGGCGGATCGATCTACGACGACGGCGGACTGATCTACAACGAGCGTGGACAGACCTGTGACGAATTCGAATCGATCCTCGACAACAGGTTGACGTACGCGTTGGACAAAGAGCCGGCGAGCGGCGTTGGTGCTATATCGGAAGAAGAAGACGACGATGAGGAATCCGGATTTTTAAAGTTCTGTCTGGAACCTAAAGAAGTGATCGAGGGCACCATGTGCCGCATCACCGGACCTACTAGCCTCACGTTGGTGATTACGAAAATCGGCGGTGTCGACCTGAGCGTCGCCAAGGACAATATGTGCAAAGTGATGCAAGAAAAATGCAACGCCTTGCCGCCGCTCGACCGCATCATACCAGGTATGAAATGTAAACATACTACTACTCGGGAGGGTATGGTAAGACTTCCGACACGTCTGGGGGCGAATAACTTAAACTGAAGACGAAAATATGAATTATTTTCATTAAACTTTAGGCAAATCGCTAAGATGTCCGCGATGTTGGATAGATTGGTACTCATATATTATATGTAGATCGAGACCACGAGTGACAATTTTTTTTTTCATCAGTTGTTTAAAAAAAAAAATGTTTGAATTATAACTCATAATTGATTTCTTGAAAAAATATTTTTCAAGCTATCATATTATACAGAATATTTAAAGCTAGTATTTATTGAAATTTTATACATATTTAACAAATTGTGTTTTATGTGGATTTTTTTAGTATGTTAGAATGTTTTTTTTTTTATTTGTGTTAATAAATCATATAGTTTTCTTTTTTTTAAATAATAATCAGTCGAAGTATTATATTAATAATGTTCCTGTCCCAACATCAACTATTTCTCATTTTTCGTGCCTGCAGAAACCTATATGGACTTTATAATATAGATTTTACATCACCGGGTGGTGACCGAACTACGAGTTCCGGTATTCCTAATACCATTTTCTGTAAACGAATAATTCAATTTCAAACATTTACTAGTAACTCATTACATTTGATTTTGAACCTCCAGTAACGACTAAATTTATATCGAGAATTCATTTTTGGTTAGATTTGTCATATACAACCTTAATTCGAATTGCCCATACTATATCGATTGTATACGAGCATTTAATGCGTATCATATTCCGCAATGTCGTAGTTATAAAAAAATAATACTATGTAGGTACAACACTAAAAATCCACCGATACGCTTCGTCGATAACGTCCACATTTTGGCTGCGCATATACAATTCGCTGATAAATGATGATTAATGACAGCGTATCGATGATACCTATATAAATTATCTTGTGATTTTTTTTTCCCAGGTACCGCTGTCGCTGTTTATCACCACGAGCTGTGGCAACGTGGTGTTATTGAAGACATCGGAAACTCGGTACTTTTAGTCGATTCTGGCATATCCATCAAGTTGAGACAAAACAAGTAAGTCCGTGTTGGCAGTTAAATACGCAGGATGATTTATTAAGCATGCTCATCCTATTTTTATGCTTAAATTATGCATGTATTCGAATTTTGATATTTGGAATTTTTGAATACATGAAGTCCATATTTTCGAGTTCTTGAAATTTCTTATACCACTTAAAGATGATCCTGCGAACTTTCTGTTTTTCAAATAGGAACCCCAATTCCATTTTTAGGTACAAAGCCGGTATTTTTTCTGAGGATTTTGATATATCTAAATCAAAATTCGAAAGAGTAGTTTTTGAGTTGCATAACTTTATGTACCTACTAATGATTATATGTCTATGGTAATGGGTTAAGTAGAAATGGGAACTTCGACGATTTTAAAAAGCTGGTAAATACTATTGAATATTGATCTATCAATGTAAATAAATTGTAAAAATAATTCAAATATAATAAATACTACATTTTATGTTACTTATAGTTTATATGTTTATAAAACCATTTGTGATGATAAAGCATAATCCCAAGTACAGAATTTTAATAATTCAGAAACTACTCTTTAGAAATTTAATGAAGTTACCATACATCCGAATTTTTAAGCGAATCATCGGCTTCATAATTTGCAGTAAATAGAGAGGTTATTCTATTTGAAAAATAGAAGTTTGTATCGCTACTGGTCACTCCTTGCCCCTTGGTCTTACAAAACATGTCAGAAATTTGAATAAATGTATTGTTAAAGGGAAAAATTGGGACTAAAAAATCATACTATATATTTAATGGAAGTCTTAAATATTACTCAACGACAGTCTGTTGTTGGACGAACATTATTATTATTATTATTATTATATTGACATTGGTTTTGTTCGCTTTCAACAGTCTTAGACCTTGTCTCCCCGAGTTTTTCGAATTGCCCATGTTCACGATCGACTGTCAGCTGGAAAACGTCAGACTGAGCGACAACGCCAACGCCAAAGACGTCGTTAAAAAACTGTCGAAAACGTTGAGAGGCGTCGATTTAAAAATCGTCGGAATCGTACGTATAGAGTTTTATTAATGATCGTTTTTAAATTCGTAATCGTGCCCGTTAATGTGCGTAATCCATTATAAATGTATAACAATAATATATTGTAACTAACGAAAGTCGAAAACGTTTGATTTACAGAGCGAATCGAACAACGACATCGTCGGCGTGGAGTTGTATAACGGCAGAGAAGAAATTGCATACCAGTCGCTGATTGACGCCAAACTGCTAATTCCCGTGTGATGCGTTTTTAATTTAGAACTCGTCCGATAACGTCTTCCAGTGCGCGTTTGTACATATTGACTAATTAGATTTTAAGTTAGTGGTTAATAGACAATTTAATTGATTGATGTATCGGAATTATTTATAACATACAGGGAAACGCAATAGTTTTATGTGCTCACGTCGGTCTCGCGATTTATAACGTGGGACTAAAATATGTAAGACCGACCAAAAACCACGCGTAATTTCAAACATTGTGATCCGCAAACATAAGTTAATTATTATGACCAATTTGTTGTCATTTAACTTTTTTATTATTTTTTTTTCACTTTCGCCATTGACGGCGTAGGTACTATGTTTCCGTCGTGTGCGATTTGTTCGAAGGACATCGGACTAATACATATCGACGAGTGGTTTTTACTAGGTATAAAGACATTATTTTATACACAATATTTCAATTTTAATTATTCTATACTTTTTGTTTTGTTATTTTATTTTTCATTAAGTCAAATGATTGAAGATTCATTTATTTTGAAAGTTTATCGCTCTTTACTGCAAATTAATGAAAACGTTTAATATTTTAAAATAAAGAAGATTTCTCATAAATACTTGTTTTGTTTTTATTTACAAAGTTTAAAGTGTACAAAGAATAATCATATACATAAAATAATAGTCTACGCAGTTTAGCCCACCGCCCCGAAGCCGGGCTCACGTCCGGCTGTTCCTGCTGCACTTATAATATAAATATAACACAAATCCCCTAAAATTATCTCATTTTTTGTTCCGTTTTTTTCGGTCGCTTTTCTCCCTCACGCCGCGTATACGTTCACTTTTTGCCTGCCGTCAGCAGCGGCGGCAGTCGTCTCTTTTCTCTTTTTCTGGTATTCTTCTTTTTGCAGCTTTAACCACGTATCGCCCAGAGCTTTGGCAAAGTGATCGTCGACCGCTGAAAATAAATTTTTTTTAATTCATTACTTTGACCGTGCCAGACAATTTTTGAACGTAAATATTATGATAATACTATACTGTCGACTATCGTGTGCAGTGTACATAGCTGTAAAGTTATTGGTTATAGACAATTTAGACGTTTTGGGTCTACACATCTTTGTACGATGATCCAATAGGTACAAGTTTTATCAGGACATGTCTCCCCCCCACACATACACACACACACTCTAAGTACGAGTCATCTGCAATGGTATCTGAAGCTGGACCAGTGATGTGTGAGCGGGGGAGGTTAACAAATTGCACTTTATATTACCTTTACTCAACTGCGTTTTAGGGCCGATAGTTAAAGCTTATTTTAAATACGATGAAAATAATTAACAATGTACATATTAAAGTATTTAATAAAAGTAACATCGTATTGTGTGACCCGAGGTGTAGCCCTATGTACAGTATTGGTGTGTATAATGAACAAATTAGGCCGATAAATAGTTTAACGATACTGAAAACTTGATTTCGTCTAAAATTACGTTTCATAAAAGTCTCGATAAAATTAAAAGATATTGGTTTGCAAATCGGCTATATTACCATTTTAAATGCAATTATAGGTACTTAAATTTTAACAAAAAAAATATATTTATTTAATCAGTTGCTCTGCGTCGTGATTTGTAAGTTGTAAGTTTTCGTTTGACATTTTTATAGACATAATATAAGTGCAGTGTATTATATGGTCACGGATTTAGATTGGACAAAAACATATTTTTTATGCCTGAAGGTGAACTCAAATGGTATAACTAGTCAGGGCACCGTAAACAAAAACAATAGGTATATTATAATTAAGGTATATACCTGATAATCCCGCGTCATCGTCGTCGTCGTCGTCATCATCGCCGTCGGTCGACGGTGCGGCGGCGGCCGTGACGGCAACCTGTTGTTGTCGTTGCGCGACGGCCGGTGCGAACACGTTCATGTAGTCTTTGCCCAGCGACCGTCTGAAATGTTCGTCAATGACTGGGTCGCTGATGCCACCTGTCGCCGTCGCCGACGACAGTGCCCTGTGTCCGGTGGCCGGCGATGCCATGATCACCGAAGCTCGTTCTTTGGGCAACGACCTGGAACCAGCCGTTGTCGTCATGTCCAGTGGCTCTTGAGTGTTTCTGAAACTAGATATGTAATACATTAACCGTCGTTGCGATCGGTGACTTGGATGCGGTGTTGGAATGCGATGTATGCAACACGGCAGGTCGTGTATACCTAATGGCTGCACTATAGGAAAGGTTATACAGCAGGTGCGTACATGGTTTTTCTTCGGGAGGGGGGGAAGAGAATAGACTATTCAATAATATTGTCCTGAAATTACATACAACAGAAGAGGCACTTATTNTAAAAAAAGAAATATAGATTTTGTTTTGTAATAAAAATTCTTTAATAAAAGTGCTAAATTAAATAATAAAAATGCTTTGTTTTTTTATATGTCTAAAAAAAATGTTTTTAATTGGTAGGGCGGTTTACTCCTCTTAATATCGCCCCCCCCCTAGGTGAAGTCTCAAATACGCCACTGGTGCAGCGATGTCAGGTATTTGATTTTACCTCTTGTACTATACCAGAACCTCAGACCTCTAAGTATAGCTAATCCGTCAGCGACGTACTGATTATGGCGTTTGATGTACTTCGTTCCGTGGAAAAATAAGAATTGGGTGGACAATCTGCTGAGCCTATTGTCGGGTAATTGTTTGTTAAAAAATGAAGGTAGCCGTCTATAGTCAATTGTCGCTGTAAATCGAACATGATGGACGGAAGCTCTTGTCGCAACCGCAACGTTGGTTATAAGCATAACCAATGCCTTGGTAACGCGATGTCAGGAATTTTATTTTATGTTTTCACTTTTGTAACTACTACACACTATATACATTTTATCATTTTTTTTTTAACTACATACTATCCATTTTAATATTTTTGTGACATCATATTATTTTCTTGGGTTGCACTGCATATCTGCTTTCATAGATAATATTTGAATAGTATAAATATTATGTTCAATGGCAACAAATAGAAAGCAAGTTAAAAGGTTTCCGTATAATAAGTATGACCATTGGCTTTATGTTGCTTTGCAGGGGTCAGAAATGTTGGCGATTTGTTTGACCATACACAGAATTTGTTGTAAAACATGTACTCTGCATATTTGAACATATTTTTGAGATAATTATGAATATTTAGCCTATATTTTTTTCATAATTCAGAATTTATTTCATCATTTTCTATACAAAATTCATATTTGTTTATTTCTCGAGTTATTTGAGGTTTTTTGTCAGCAAAAAATACTTTTAAATATGATAAAAAAGAATTATTCAAAATATCCGAAACTTGTTAGTAATTTCTAATTAAATTATAGTAATGTAGTTGGTCATTAAATTCCTTTAGCTGTGCTTGCATTTGCATACACATATTTTCTATACATCCACATACTAATGTAGCTTATAACTGTTGACCGTGTTTTAACTAAATTTGTTAACAATTATCAATGAATACAAAGCCATTTTTTATGGTAAAAATTATTTACATTATCACTAACTTAAACGGTTTGTAAAGAAGTTGTTTTGAATTTTTCCATTTCTATTTTATACATAGAACAAATAATATTATATAGATATTACTTATACTATCATACAGTCTGCAATATAAATATATAATGTAGGTAGGTATCTAATTAAATAATTGATTTCGAGGGATACGGATTATTTTCAAGTTAATCATTTCTCATCGATATCTATGAATTGTATTAAGAGCTTACTATTTTAAACTTTTAGAAACCTATTAGTCACTATCATCTAATTGCAATCATAATATAAAAACAATAGATTATAATAATATAGGCAAAACTACTTATGCTTAAAATTCGAGAACTGCAGTTATCCTTTTACCCTCCCGTCCCACCCGAGGATATTCGTATCTTCCGGCCACCCCGTGGTTACGACTCGAGCAGAAGTTGGAGACTACGAGGGTTGGACAGGTGTTGTCTAGGTCTGGTGTGGGTGCAGCATGTAGTACTTACGGCGGCGGAGTTGGCGAAACGGGTGACGTGCAGACGGCCCTGTGTCTTCTTTCCCTCTTCCATTTGCCGACTGTGCCGACGGTTCCCTCCATCGCCGAACATCTCAGAGACAGCGACCGCGAATGATCTGCACAAACAAATAAGAAAAATCTCATTTAGAAAAACAGTAATAATATATGCAAAGGTACACCACCGGACAAAATCCTGCAGCCGAGTGCCACGCTCGCATGCCGCAGTGTGTCACCATACAGAATTTATGCGTTTTTAATCCAACCGGTTATAATGATAATAATGATGGTACCTAAGTGGTATAATACAAAACGTACAGCGGTAATACGACACGCGGCGGCGGAGTATCTATACCGGTTGTACATATTATTATAATAAATATCTCACACATATAATATTATAATATATAGATGATATTCATCTGCGGGATTCTCGCTGAATTCCTAGCGTTCTTGAGATTTCCCACCGCCACGTCACCTCGCACAAAATCCATAATAATATATTTGTATACCTAAGTACGTACGGCACCGGAGCGACATAATATTATTTTAATAATTTATCGCCTGACATTTAACTATATCTGGAGGAGAAGTTTTCCATAATACGACGACGGCTTATGTTACAGCACCTGCAATGCAGTGACTTCGAGGCATAATATTATTTATTATAATTATTATATCGTTATACGTTAAGCGAGCGCCTGATGTACCGCACCTATATCCGTAGAGGCGAATAACGGGTGGTTGGGGGTGGACTGAGCCTCCCTGGGGTTGCATAGCCTCCTCCCCCCCCCCAAAAAAAAGAATACCTGAAGATTTTACACCGCGTTGGAATATACGAATGAAAAATGTTCGTCTCTACATCGAAATCGCTGAACTCTTCGCTGCATGTCTCAAAAACACTATTTGCGCCAATGTCCAACCTGCGGAGGTTTCTACAATTTGATTAACGGTTTAATACGCATAATATAGCGGCCAATCGCATGAAATCCTCAACAATATGTATATTATTATCGTAGCTTATACGCCTCATTTATTATTTTTTTCCTCCGCTGTAAGCCAGAATGCCAGATTAATAACAAACTACGTGAACACTGCCCATATTATGTACACATAAATGTATATACGTGTATACCGACGAGTGTCGTGTGTCCGGTGTGTACGTTATATTATAGAGGTGCACACGTAGTCCTCACTACATTATTATTATTATTATGACTAGTATTATTATTTCCGTTTTCCCGTCCTGTGCAGGCCGACGACGCAGGACAACGGAAGGACGACGACGACGACGACCGTACACACACGCACACTTGGCATACGAACAAAGTGCGCACGTTTCCTGTTCGTGATTAACATTAAATAATATATTTCAATAATATTATTAGATATTGTTGTTATTATTATTATTATACTAACGCCATCGCGTCTTTCGGACGTGGCGAGTCGGACGGACGCGCGGGATGACTCGCGTGAATCTATGAGAGCGACTTGTGTGTTATTATTTTCTCCGAAGTTGATATTATAACATTATGGTCGGCGGGCACTCGCGTATCGATGATAGCCTATAATGACGATTTATGTACACAAACCGACAGCCGTCATTAAACCGATTATATTGAAAATAAAAACAAATTTATTGATTTTTTTTTTTACATCAGTATATAATTTGCTATAAACAATAGATTTCTTTGAAATCGGATGACCAATTCGTCGGCCGCTCAGCGCAATTATTATAATACAAATACGACTATCGCAATAAATTACATAATTGATAACGTTTATTTAAAACACGAGGGTTTTAATACATATAATGTATAATATTATAGGAAGATTATCCATCGCATCAATTATTCGTCGGAATTATATTCTTAAAATATATACTATACCTATAGCTTATTCGTATATTATTAATGATATTAAACGAAATCGTAAAAAAACTTAACCGCACGCCACTAAGCCACTTATTAACAACATTAAAACAATATTATGAATGAAGAAAATAAATATAATATAAATCGTATATGTATAATATGTAAGTACAAATTATTTTATAGCTCTACACTTCGAGCACCTCTCAGGTTCTGCGTTAGGTCTAATTTATTTTATTTCATTTTTCACGGTTTCAAATAATAGCCGCGTAATTGTTTATCGCTATTTGTCCAATTGTATTTTAAACGTTTCTTTATAGGGCTAAATTAAGATTTATCGACGCGCGAGTGATGAAAGTTCCTTCGACGGATACCTATAATATACAAAAACGGTTATTAATACTTCAATCATAAATAGATATACAGACTTTTGTATTTCGATGTGTCATTAAAAACAGGGCACACCCTAAAACTCGGTTATTTGATTGCGGGAAATGAGACTATAGAAGTATAAACAACTGTTGGATCATAATTCGCAACTTTTTAACTTTTGTATTAGGCGTATGCGCTACAACTTGACTTTTTGAGTGTAAGGTACCCATTTTTCGAAGAAACGCGGTTTATATCTGTATTAAAGTGCAGCGAATGTATCATTATAGTTTCAAGCGAGCAAAACATAAGTACGTCTATGTATCTTATTTTCAAGTATATTTTATAATATTGTCATCTCAGAAATGACCTAACTACCCGCGATCTATAATAATAATATATAAGAATTGAATCATTACGCATATTATGTCATTTCGATGAATGCATATTGAACGTCAAATGCCCAATTAAATATTCAAACGTTATTGTAGCAATATTATAATCTTATTATCACGCAACATTGGACGGTCGAACATTGAAACTCTCTGCATGCAACTGGTTAGGCAGGTACACACCCAGTAGGGTGTGTGGAGAGAATTAATTTTTGTGTACAACTGCAGCAAAATCATCCCCTTATTGATTTTTGTACAGATTTAAGTAAACATTGTCTGGCGGTGTCTCAATGAGTATAACAACGTATTACACGATATTATTTTAATCGAAATCGCTTCGGAAATCACGTTTGTGTCTTAACACTATTTATGTCACACACATTTTAGAAATATTGTAATTTAGTAATCACAAGTTGTACGAGTATAACACGGAATGAGTTTGCTTCGCGCACTACCCGAACACTGCCAAATACGCCTAATTGGATTAGTGAAGACTTTAACGTTAAAGTGTGTAATTACAATGAATTTAATTTGCATAAATTGAGTTGAAAGTGAACTTCGTGCACGATTATTGAAAATATATCCACGTGCATGTACCAACACGCAGTCGTTGCGTTGACGATTTATTTACAAGTGGTATTGTTTTCCAACAGTTAAAATAATATTGTGGGTGAGAAACAAACACAATATTCTGTTATAAATTACAATAACGATGTACCCAACTATAATGTAATATAATGCCGATGATTTGATATTCATATTTTCAGATTTCACGTCTTGTAACACCACCAATAAATCGAGGACAAACTGTGTATTTGGCGTATACACTCAATAATATCGTTACATATTACATTAATTAATTATCCTGCGTGTGTGTCATATAAACGATATTTGTAAATGAGTACATTTCGACAGACAGAAATTTAATTTTCCGCCAATGAAAAACTACTATCGCAACCAGGTTAGCTGGATATCAGCTACTTATATAATACGCATTGTCCATGCTACAGTATAATAAGACACTGTATTGAAAATAAATTGCGATTTCAACACCGAAAACACAAGCAGACGTACGAAAAAGATCATATACATATATGGCGGTCTCGCCGAACAAATTAAAAATCCAGTGTGCGCAGAACTCTATTAACGAAATTGTTAGGCGATCGATTAATTTCGAAAATATTATAATAATGGGTACAATAAACAACATACTATAATATAATATTATGTGACATAATTGTGTTGCACAACGAATTATGGGTATTATGGGTATCACCCGTTGCAACAATAACGAGCATACACCACGCGACATCGTATAATATTATTACAGTAGTTAAGTAAGTACTTTATCACTTCAATGCGTCGAAGACTTTGAATTTTTTTTTATCGGTACCTTCGAGTTGTCCTATTCTACTCACTTATGTGTATAAACAATAAAAATACAATATACGTAGGAAATGAAAGCCTCGGGAAATCTCGCTATCCTGCTTCTCTCACCGTCAAAGTAGTCGGCGGCCCTCTCCACCCACGGCTGCCACAGGTGTCTGGTCCGGTCCGCCTTGTTGTTCCGACCGTCCCGGTGTCGATTGTGTTGTTCGTATCTCGAGAACATGACGCACAGGCTCATAACCCGGTCTGCCGTTTATGATGTATTATACTATAAAATATGATATTATATCAACCGGACGATCGACGGATCGTAACCGAAAAATTTCGAGAAAACCGAAAAAAAACAGCGAACCAAATAGTATTAATTATACGTGTGCAACGAATGACAGTCTGTTGGCGTCGACAGTGCGTGTCAGGACCGTACGCGTTGCGAACGATGAATGGCGGCTGCGGCTCGTCGGCGGTGGCGTCGTCGTCGTCGTCGTTGTCGTCGTCGAGCCGCCGCCGCTTTTAAAGATTGTCCGCGCCGCCGCGGTTCATTCATGGTGCGGCTGCGGGAAACCGGTTGCGCGCCGCCGTGGCCAGGAAGCGTTCGCGCGGCGTCCGGTCGGGCGCGGTGGTCCCGCGCGCGCTCGCGCTAGTACACCGCGAACGCGTCCTCCGCCGTTTTCATTAATGGGCACCCCGACCCGTGCTCCACAGGTGCGCGCACACACGCACGATAAATAATGTAAAAAAGGGTTCACCGGAAACTACAACGCCTCCGGCCTAAACGTACCCATTTATTATGTACATACATCATTCTTGTACATGTATACGCGTTTATAAGACACACACGCTCGGGACCGTATAGAAATGTTATATTATTATAATATTCTACCGTGTTATTATATATTATTATAAATCGTCTTCCTCCCCTCTCGTGAGGGAACTACAACAACAACAACAACGACGACGACGACGACAATAATAACGCTCTCGCGATTACAATATAATATATTATTATAATAAAAGACACGCACACTGCGGCTTGATAATATTATGTTTATTATTATTAATACTACTATTTTTGTTGTGGTTGTAATATATTATATCACA